AGAGCAGACCAGTGCCGTGCTGCACCTTCCTTGTCTCTGCATAAGGAGGCATTAACCAATGGTGCTTCCAGAGGTCTGGAATACTCAGCTCCCACACTCTGCGTGCAGCTCACTGGGCTTACAAAATCACTGCTCTTTATCTGTGAGATGAGAACAGCGCTGCTGCTCTTTATCAGTCTTTTATCTGAGTGATAGAGATGCACAGGGCAATACAGGCACTTATGTCCCATAGAGCCTCTGGGCACACAAGCCATCCCCACACACCTTCCAGTTCCCCCCCTGAGCCCTCTGATGCTAAAGGGAGAAACAGAGACTCCAAGCAGCAATCCCCAGTGCAGTGTCTCCAGTAAGGTTCATGCTCCTGATGGTGAGGAAAACAAGTGGCTCCACTGGGATCTAGCATCCAGGCGAGCCTCAACGCTGATGTCTTCAACTCAGCTCTCACCCAGCAGGAGGATGGCACGGTCTGGGGTCAGCCAACCCTTCCCCATCCCTGAATGGGGCTCAGCTGCGTGCCCGAGGGAAGCAGCACACACTTACCTGGGCAGACCCCCCAGGTCCCACTCGGAGCAGATGTAAGGGCCAGGACGCAGAAGCACCCACAAGCCGTTCTTAGCTGCCAGCGAAAGGAAGGCCCTGGGGATGCAGAGAGCTTCATCAGTGCAGTCACTGCACAGCACTGCCTGCTGAGGCTCCAAGGGGGACTGCAGCTCCAGGGAGCTCCAGAAGGAATGAGAGCCTCCATTGCCTGACCAAGGCACGGGCTGGAAACGACCTCCTCACCCAGCACCAGCAGAGCCAAGCGGGTCTGGAGCGGAGCTGGCACAGGCACCACGTACCCGAGATCCAGGTTCCCGCTGAAGTCGAACTTCCCTCGCTCTCGTTCATGGAGGTTCCATGGCACGTACCTGGGCAGTGCAGGGGTGGAAAGGGCTCTGCGTTGGTGAAGCACACCAAGACCCCCGCGCACCCCTGGGCAAACAACGGGGATGGAGGAACAAATCCCACCGACCGCTATGGCAGCCATAGGGAGGGAGGGAGGACACTTACGTCGTGAGGGTGTTCAAGCCACAGGCTTTCATTTTAAGCATTCGATCTTCCCAGTATTCCCTGGGGACTCGGAAGTAGTGCATGGAGCCCCCGAAGATGCGGAACGGCATGCCCTCCAGCAGGAACTGCGAGTGCTCTGCCTGCAGGCCCAGCGTCCTGCCCCATAGCCGCAGAGGGACCAGCTCGCTCCAGTTAAACCTGGCAGAGAAAGGCACGGATGGGAGCAGGGATCAGATCTGGCCCCTCAGAAGCTGCTCGTGCTCCCTTACCCGGCAGGGTCCGCGCTGACTGCTCCTCAAGCCACGCTCTTTGCCATAGAGAGCCATAGGCAGAGGGCAGCCTGCCCATGGTGTGCATTCACCCCTCCTTTCAGTAGCAGCTCCCATGCCACGGCACTGCTCCGGCCCGGAGCATGGAACCGCCTCACTGGTAACACTGGAGGGCAGCTCCTCACCCCCGATCCCAGCTCTTCCCAAAGTCATTCCCTTTCCGATGTCCCTGTGCTGCAGCAGGATGGCTGATCCCCAGGGCCTTGTTCCAGCAGCAGCTGCAGCTCGGTAGTGGTACCCTGCGCACCCTGTGGCCTCTGACACCTTCCAACTCCGTGCATGGAAGGCAAAGTGCCCTCGGTGGGAACAGAGAGCTTCTTCCTCCATGTCCTGGATTACATCCATCCCAGGAAAGGCAGAGCCAGCCGCCAGCACTGCTTCCATCACCATGTTGTTTGCCAATAGGCCGGGAGCAAAGGAGATGCCAGGTTCCACGGCACTTCACCACCTTGAGTCCTCATGCTACCACAGCTCCATTCGGGATGGTTCCTGCGTGCTCTGTCTATTCCCTACCCCCTTGCCGTTGGGTTGGGCTGAACCAAGAAACCACTTCATCAACAAGCATCAAACTGCCTCCATCATCCCCGTTGCACTGCTCTGAATACCCGGAGGAGCTGGACAACAGCAGCTTGCTCCTCCGCACAGCCTGATGTGAGGGATGGATTCCCATCCCAAGCAAGCAAGGAGTGGGAGGGAGATGCCTCAAGCTCCAGCTGCTTTCTCTACTCTAGGTGCAGAGCAGGTGTTAGCAGAGGGGTTGCTAACCAGCAGCTAGTACCTGTCCTTCAACACAACGCAAGGAGACCAAAGGAACTAAGCCTACTGCAGGGGCTGGCTGGCAAGCCCAGGGTACCTGTACAGCACAGCGCTCCCACAGGGCTCTGAAACAGCCGGCAGCAGGCACGGGTAATACCTGCAAAAGGAAGTCTCGATTAGCGATGGAGAGCCTTCACCCACCACCCTGCAACCACTGCCTGTGAGCAAGGAGCTGGGAACACATCCCATAATGGTGCTGCAGGAATAACTGAGCTCACAGGGAGACAGGGCGGCTCAAAGGAGGAGAAACGGGCGCAGAGGATGATGGGGTGATGCTTGGGAACGGCAGCGCTGCTCCCAATGAGTTCCTATGGGCTTCACCAGCAGTGGAGGGGGCTCTCAATGCATCCACAGGGTATCCAACATCCCTGTGTGTTAGAGCCAATGAGCTCCCCAAAGAGCAGCTCCCTCTGCTCTTGCTTGGTGCAAGCCAGAGCTGGGAAGCTCACAGGGGTCTGGAGACTCCGATCCTTCCTGGGTAAGCTGGAAAATCCCTTGTTTCCCATCACTTCCCAAGCCCTAACTCACCCCTGCCCACAGGAAACACCCAGCCAGGTAAAGATAACCCCATCACTTCATCCGCTTAACGCTGGCCAGAACCCAGCTGGTGCGTTCCCTGCCTCAACACCAAGCTGCACCCACCTCTGCGCTTCCAATGGAGCGCAATTTATAGCTCCCAGGTTCGGGTTTCTCACCTCCATAAGGAAAAAACCCCAAACCCGGCTCAAGTCCTCTCTGATGAGCAGGGATCGAGCCTTGGTATCGCTCCCCCACGTACCCACAGCGGCCAAAGGAGAAGGAAAACGAAGCCAAAACAAGGTGAGAAGCACCCATGGTTTGCTTTGCCCACACTAAGGGACAAGAGACTCCATTTAACCCCTAAGCTCTTTATTCCAGGCTTCCTGTGGCCAGGGAAAGGGACAGCTTTGCTTTGCCTCCCCTCAGGACTTGCTGTCCGGTGGCAACCCCGGTCCTGTGCCAGGCAGCCGAGCCCTGGATGCTTGTTCAATGTGGTGGGGACAAGGATCCTGGTGCAGGTTATTCCCAGGGGGAGCAAACGGGCCGGTTCCGATGGACACCCTGCTTTACAGGCACTCCTTGGAGCGGGCTTCCACCCCTTCACCAGGTATTGGCTTGCAAGAGCCCTCTGTGAGGAACGGACGTGGCACAAACCCAAGACCGGCCCTAAAAGAACTCTGCTTCTAATTACACACGGACTTAACCAGAGCTTGTCTATAGCCCCGAGGATCAGGTAGTTTCCTGCTAGGAATTCCAGAACCCATTATGAACATCCAATAAATCCCAGGGGTAATAAATCCTAGGTTGTTATGGTGTGGGATGGAAGGAGCTCCCCTAGTTCCATAGGCAGGGACTCCTTCCACTGGAGCAGGTTGTGCAGATCCCTACATCTGCTCTATCCACATCTTCCCTTGGCTCATCCCCAGTGCCGGGCACTGACGAGCTCCCCGCTCGGCATGGACAAGCGCAACACGCACCCGTCCAGCCACAGCGTGAGACAGGCGCATCCATGGAGGAGCATCACTCCCGAACGGATGCGATCCAGGCTACAACGCCCTGGAGCAGCGGGAGGCGGGCACCGCGCCGCTCCCTGGGTACCACACGGGCACGGGATGGGAAGAGCCGGACCCGGGACAGGCTGGGGCGAGGTGCACAGAACGGGAGCAGCCCCAGCGGCGGGACCGACTTCCCAACGGGAATCCCGCTCCCGTGCTGCGCTGATGGAGCCTCGGGGGAGCCAGCATCCCTCGGGACAGCATCAGCGCAACGCAGGGCTGGCAGCCGGCCGCTCCGCACCCGTTCCCGTTTCTGACGGGCAGCCGCTGCGTTCATCACCCGTGCGAACCGTCCCCACGCTGACGGACGGGAGCAGGGCGCGCTCCCCCCCACCCAAGGAAGGATTTGGGTTCATCCCCATGGATTCACCCCCCGCCCGGCACTGCCTGAATTCACCCGTTCCACCCCAAACCCACGCTCCGGGCCCTGCTCTCACCTCCGCACCAGCACCCACAGCACCACCGCGACCAGCGCCACCCCGCCGACACGGCGCTGCCGCCGCCCGCCGCACGGCCACATGGCGGCCGCGCTCCGGGACCGGGCCCGGCGCCACAGCCCCCCCTCCTCACTCCACCGCCTTGGTCCGCTCCGCCCGCTGATCGCCCGCTATTGGCCAGCCGCGGGCTCGGCCTGCCTCTTAGCAGCCTCTGATTGGTGGCTAGGAGCCCGCAGGGCGGGGCGAAGGGAGGCGGTATGGCGAGCCGGGTCCCTGTGCCCCTCCGCCGGCCGCTACCCAGGGAGGCAGCGCCGAGCCCGGTCACCCAAGGCAGGCGCTAAGGGTCCGTCATTCATGGGTGAAGCAGAGGAGCTGGGTTTAATCCCTGCCATAGCACAGAAGGAAGGGCTATGTCAGTCAAATCACCATCACTGCTTTATTGATTCACAATCGGAGGGGGGAAATACCTGAGCTCACTGATGCACTCCCCCTACGCTGCGCAGGGCAGGGAGTACCCATTAGGAACAACAGGTAACTGTTCCCATACAGTACCTTAGTGTTTGTACCGCTTAGATTAAGCACCAGTACCTGGTAGGAATAGGGAGAATAAGCAGTCGTTCCATTGGGAAAGGTGTGCTGGGATAAAAAGGAATGCTTCCAGGTAGCCCAGAAGCATCCTGCTTCATAGTTAAAAATCCATTGCAAGTGGACAGAGCTGCAAGTATGTGGGTACCTTGTTCCCTATGTCCCGAGAGGCAAATAGCTCCCTTGAACTAGAGGAAAAATCCCATGGGATTAAGGCTGCACCTCTGCCCGGCGTTCCCGTTTCAGTCCCGACTCCGCAGAGCCTGGGGTTTCTCTGGTGTGGCAAGCAGCCCGTGATGGAGATGTGGACACAGAGGCTGGTATTCACTGCTGTGATTGGCATCCTCAGGCTGCACAATAGGAGCCACGGCACAGCAGCTCTGCCAGGCACAGAGTGGCAGCATGTGAGGGGCATCCAGCTGTGTGCTTCCAGGCAGGGTGAGGCAGAAAGGCTGTTTCCACAGGGATATTCCCCACTGCGCTCCCAGGGAGGGAGCTGGTGCACAGGGGAGGGCAACAGAGTGAGTGTCACAGACGATGGCATTTTAAGGCTGGAGAAGAGCTCCTGGCTTCAGGCCTGCAGCAGGCTCCTGGCCACGATCATCCGCATCACCTCATTGGTACCTGCAGCGGGACAGGGGTGCAGAAGAGAGGCAGCCAAGGGATATCCCCCCCACATAGAGGGTTCTCCCTGGATCAGCAGTTTCCAGCACAGAAAAGCTCCTCCCAGTGATGGAGGTGGCATTTAGGAGGTGCTGGGGCAAAACACATTGCTCAGGGTTCAGAGTGGCAGATCCCGGTGCTTGTATCGATTTGGGCTTTGAGAGGATGCAGCACCAGGAGTGGATATCAACCAGCATCCAGGTTTTCACTATTAACACACACAGATGGAGTGTGTGGACCCACCTGGTACTGGGAAGAGGATGTCCTGGGTGTGGGTGAAGGGATTTCAAAGGAGGGCCCACAGAATGGCCCAAATGAGATCAGAGAGGGGCAGACCCTGCCAGAGACACGATGTTTCCCTGGCAGTAACGGTGCCCTTTACCTTCCAGGATCTGGTGGACTCTGACGTCTCGCACAAACTGCTGCACGGCGTAGTCCTTCAGGTAGCCATAGCCCCCGTGCATCTGCAGAGCCTGGTTACAGATCTGAGGAGAGAACGCTCACCAGTGAAGGGACACGGAGGACACGGCAGGGACAGGAGCTTGGTAAGAACCCAGCAACCTGCCTGGTTTCTTTGCTCTGGTCACTTAATGCCGTCTCTTCAAGTGCGGTGCGGCAGCAAGGCACTCCCAGTGCCCACCGGTGCTGCTCTCAGTGCTAGCACATCACCCAAGTGCTGTTTCATATTAACGATGCATTTATAGCACGGAAATACCAAGGAAAACGCTTTTAAGGGGTATTCTGCTGCATGTCTGTGGTGCTACCGATGCAAAACGCCAACACCACCATCTACTGGTCACAGAGGGAGAAATTGCTCCTTTCCCCCCCTTCTTGCTTCTCCTTTTCAGGGACATTTTGGGGTAATGTCTTTTCTCAGTGGCCTACCAAAGAGCACTTGCTACCTGGGAATCGTGGAATGGGTTGGGAAGGACCTTAGGATTACCCAGTTCCAACCCCCTGCCATGGGCAGGGACACCTCCCAGCCTGCAGCATGGGTATTATCCTGTTGTGTCCCTCTCCTTGGTCCTCTAGAAGGCAGTGCAGGAAGCACCTGAGCTGTGGAGCCTCCATGGGCTGCAGAACTCGGTCCCTGCTCCTGAAATGAGGCTTCTGGCTCAATGAACGTGCTTGGGGCTGGGTCCTGACAGTGCCCAGCTGCTTCCCGACACCCTCCCAAGTGATGCTTCGAGCCACCCACCTCAAAGCACGCATCCGTAGCAAAGAGCTTGGCCATGGAGCACAGCACCGGAGCATCCTCCCGCTCCTCCTGCAGCGCCCGCGCCGCGTTGCGCACCATCAGCCGCGCTGCCACCAGGCGTGTGGCCATCTCTGCCAGCCCAAACTGCAGGTACTGCACAGGGGAAGGCAGGTCAGCATCCCCAGGGCAAGGGGGGGGGAGTCTGGGCTGCGTCCCCTCCCAGCCCTGATGGAGGGTACCTGGTTGTTGGCCAGGGGCTCCCCAAACTGCTTGCGCACGGAGAGATGCTCCCGAGCCAGGAGCACAGAGGCGTGAGCAGCTCCTAACGAACAAGAAGCTGGTGGGAGAAGGCAGGGACACAGAGTGAATGGGAAGCAGTCGCAGACAGGGAGCAGGATGATCCTGCCCTCCTCCTCCTCCTCCCTTGGCTTTCTCACCGATGTTTATCCTGCCTCCATTGAGGCCCTTCATGGCGATGCTGAAGCCCTGCCCTTCGGCTCCCAGGCGGTTGCTGACAGGAACCACGCAGTCCTCAAGGATCACAGCCCGAGTTGGCTGGGAATTCCAGCCCACCTGGGGAAGAGCAGAGTGCCCTCAGCCTGCCCTCCAGCTCCCAGCACAGGACTGCTCTCAGCCCCTCGGTCTCCTTGCCAAGCTGCTGCAGAGCACCCCCAGCCTGCTTGCTCTGGCCTCAGTGTGGAAACAGGAATGATCTATTTGAGAAGAGGCACAGATCCAACGGTCCGTGGTGCTTCCGACATTAAAACCCTTCCCTTCACAAAGGGCCAACTTCACCTAAGCTGGGCTTGGCTTGGGAAGAACGGTCCAGGTGGGATTCTGGTCCCATTCCAGAAGAGATCCCTCATCGTTATCCAGCACTTCCCTCCAGCACCCAGGAAGCAAGCCCCAAGCCTCTTACCTTCCTCTCTTTCTTCCCAAAGCTGAGCCCTGGTGTTCCCTTCTCCAGCACCATGCAGGAGATGCCCTTGGGGCCTGGGCCTCCGGTGCGACACATCACCAGGTAGACATCCGTGTCCCCCCCTCCGCTGATGAAGGCCTGCAGAAAGGCACAACAAAGGGGTCCCTGTTGTGTGCTAGCCCAGAGCCTGCAGCTATGAAGACCCCAGAAGGGGTTCAGGGACCAGCTCTGGCGAATGCTCTGCAGAGAATACACAGAGATGAGGGGACAGCAGGAAATGGAAACGATGAAACCCTGTGCGTGCACTGCATCCAGCAGCTTTAGGAGGAGCAAGGGGGTACCTTGGAGCCATTCAGGACGTAGGAGTCCCCTTTCCTCTGCGCTGAGGTCAGCAGGGAAGCTGCATCACTCCCGCTTCCTGCTCAAGAGGTAAGGGTTAGGGTTAGGGTTAGTGAAGCAAGTCCAGAGCCTGAACCCCCCCCTCACCTGCCCCTTCCCAACATCCCAGTGACTGCCCAGGTAAACACGAGAAGAAACCTCCCTGCTGCTTGGAAGGGTCAAATCCAGCTTGGCTGCACTGGGAGCCCGGGAAGGGGGGGATGAGGATGCTCACCTGGCTCGGTCAGGCAGTAAGAAGCAAACTGTTCCATGCTGCAGAGGGACGGGCAGAACCGGCGCCTCTGCTCCTCGCTGCCAAAGGTGTCGATCATCCAAACACACATGCTGGAGCAGCAGGGAAGGAGCAGCATTACAGGAGGCCTGCACAGCCAGGATCACCTCCTGGTGGCATCTCCTTTTGGACCCTGTTTGTTCATAACCACTGGGAAGTCCTCCCAGGATCCCAACTTGAACTAAAGCAGCAGCACCAAGGGAGCTGCATCCAGCCCACGGAACAACTCACTTGTGGATGCTCATATAAGCAGTGGTGCTGGTACACCCCGTTGAGAGCGCTTCAAAGATTATGGAGGTATCCAGTCGTGACAATCCAGAGCCACCGACGTCTGGGTTCACGTAGATCCCACCAAACCCCAGCTGGGCTGCCTTCCGCATTGTGTCCACGGGGAAGATCTCCTGTCGGGACAGGCAGAGGGAGTGCAGTAACCAGGGTGAATTCAGCCTCAGCATTCAAACTCTTGTGGTACAGCAAGGCCAGACCCAAACTCCTCCAGAGCTGGTGTTAACTGGGTGGGTTGCAGAATGGTTTGTCTCTATGTAGGCAGAGAGAGAGCCTCTTCAGGAGTAAACCCAGGTCTCAGGTGATGGAACAGCATGGCCAGGGAAGCCTCAAGGTCTTCCTGATGGCTTCCCACCCCAGCTGCAGCAGCAGCTTCAAAGCCAAGCCCTACAGATGTGACAGCACCAAGGGGCTACCGCAGGGCCACCCCTCTAGGGAGCCCCAAGACCCATCATGGCCTAAGGGACACAAAGCAGAGCGGTACAACCCTGCTGCGGCCGCGGTACCTTCTCATCCCACTCAGCCATGTGAGGAGCCATCTCCTTGGCAGCAAAATCTAGGGCAACGCTCTGGAATTCCTTCTGCTCCTCAGTGAGCCCAGCGGATGCTAGGGAAGAGGGAAGAGAGCTCAGAAACCGTGTCTGCTGCAAGAAAACCGAGTGTCAACCAGGACCCGAGTGTCCCAAGGCCTGGGACTGCAAGGAAGCCGAGAAGCGAGCTAAGAATAAAGCAGCCCTCTATAGCTTTGGCTAGAGCCTGCATCCTGCTTCACCCAGCACTGATTTGTTGGTTCCTCTCCCAGGGATGCCGCAGCTCCAGTCCCACACGCTGTGACACCCGGCAGCAATGCATCTGGGCAGCGCTCAGGAATCCCGTAGGAGGAGACCAGCTCGGCCCCAGTAACCAGAGCCCCCGCTCAGCACCAGGGGTACGAGCCGCCCCTCCAGCGTTAACACCGGGCCCTCCCGAGCCACGCTGACCCCGCAGGACACAACCCAGGTACCGGGGAAGGGCACGGAGCGCTTGGGCTCCCCGGGGGATCCCCATCCCCTCCCATCCGCTCCCCTCCCGCTGCTCACGGTCAATGCAGGAGGCGATGCGGCGCCGTCCCGCCGCGCACCGCAGCGATAGCGGCAGCAGCCGCGCTGCCCGAGGGGCCCCGCACCAGGCCATGGCGCGGCCGCACCGCGGGGCTGCTCTCGGGTGCAGGCTGGGAGCTGTAGTCCGGCCCCCGGCGCCTCCCGCCTGCGCGCTGGTTCCGGGAAGGGGGCGAGCCCGCGGGCTCTGCCGCCTCCGCTCGCGTAACGGTGCCCGCTGAGCAACGGCAGGACCAGAGGGGCCGGTGAGGGGCACCCGGGGGGGGCGGTGGGGAGGGATGGAGCGGGGCAAGGAGGGAAGGGAGCGCTTGGCACGGGAGGTGGAAAAGTTGATGCCGCCGGAGCAGGGCGAGTGCCAAGGGGATGGAGGCGCAGCCCTTGCCCAAGGGGGATTGAGGGCGTTAAGCCGCGAGTAACAAGTCGAGGCAGAGCCCCGGGGTGGGAGGCTCCGGAGCGGCTCTTGCAGGGCAGAGGGGGCCGCGCTCGGGACAAGCACCCCGGGGCCTCTCCTCCATCAGTGCGGAGCGGAGCTGCCCTGCTGCTGGTGTCCATCAGCGCGGGTCCTGCCGCCGGCACCGCGGGTGTGGTCCTCGGCCAGTGCCAGCGTTAGCACTGATAGAGGAAACGGCTGGGCCCGGGGAAGGAAACCATTCACAGTGCGCTCACTGCCCTGCTGCTGCTCTCCGCAGCGGAGCTGAGCGCTGCTCCCTCTGCCCGCCTCCAGCAGGAGCTTCCCAGCGGAGAGGAGATCGTTCCGAGAGAGCGGAGATGCCTTGGCCGAGCAGGAAGAGAGACAAAGCAGCAGTAGCAGGTCGGTGCTGGCACCCTCACCAACTCCCGCTTGAGGTCCCAAGCTGTAGTGAGACTGCAGTCATCTTAACCCGCGTGGGTTCCAGACAGCGTTTCCTGTGTGCAAACGGGCTGAGCAGCCAGGGGTGACCGAGACCAGGGTGTAGATGAGGACAGTGATGCGTTCACAACACCAGGTGGTTAAGAAACACAATTCACACTCATTTACAGAGAGCTTTCACCTGCGTGTGCCTAGTGGAGCAGCAAAACACTGGTGTCTGCACAGACAAAACCCCAAAGAGCAGGAACCGGGCACCTGAGGCACTCTTCTGTGGTGTTTAAAGCAGAAGGTGAACAAAGTGCCCAGTTGGCTCATCCGTGGCACTCCTCTTAATAAACTCCAGCAAATAAGCATCATCTTAGCCTTTCATCGCTCCTGTTGGGGACAAAACGGGGTTTATCTGAATGTTTTGTTGTCTCTTTTAAAGATAAAAAAGAGCCTGATGCTAAAATTGCCAAAACCGAGGAGGAGGCTCCGGATAAGGAGGAAGAGGAGAAGTCCACCAAAGCTCCAGCTGGGAGTTCCAAGTCGGGGTGGAAGAACTGGAAGAAGACAAAGGAGTCTGACTCCGGTGGGGAGGAGAGCAAGATCACGTACTGCCACTGGCTGCTGAAATCAGAACCAGAGAGCAGGCTGGAGAAGGGAGTGGATGTGAAAGTAAGCACCTGCACCCCGCTTCCTCAGCAGGGTACAGCAGCAGTGTCACTGCCACCATCCCCAGAGTGCTGAGGCAATCCGGATGAACCCTGTTGTGTCTTTACTTCTCAAACCCCATTTGTCTCACCCCTGTGTTTTCATTGCATTTGGCAGTTCAGCATTGAGGACTTGAAAGCTCAGCCCAACCAGACCACCTTTTGGGATGGAGTAAGGAACTACCAGGTAAGGAGCACACAACAGAGGAAGGCACTGCAATAGCACCGGGAAAATGGGTAACCTGTTCTTTGGCCTGGAGAAAGGATTTGCTTTTGAGGCTGTACTGCTCAAAGGTTGGGCAATGCTCTGTTACATCATCCGGTTTTCCTTTTGCTTTGAGCAGCCCTTATTCCCCATGGCAACCTCTTGCAAGTCTGGCCTTAAACACTGTCAGTGGGCATCAGCTTTCTGTTCCAGGCCTCTCTGCAGAGGAAATCCATGTGTGCTTCCACTACTGTACATGCTTCCCCCCATACATGATCAGCTCTGCTGAACTGCTGGGTTCCCACATACTCTCTAACCATCAGGAGCCTGTCTTTAGCCTGGATTTTATTTCACATGCACTCTCTGGTTAGCTCTTGCTCCTGCTGCTTGTAATGAAACCCTTGATGCAAAGAGCTCAAAGTCTCTTCTTTACACCTGACAGGCAAGGAACTTCCTGAGGGCCATGAAGCTCGGGCAGCAGGCCTTCTTCTACCACAGTAACTGCAAAGAGCCTGGCATTGTCGGCATTGTCAAGGTGAGTGCCTCTTCCTTGTCCAGTGTTTTGGGGCAGGGAATGGGTTATCCAACACCTCCTTAGCCCTGCTTCTGTCTCTGCACCAAAGGAGGGCAAAAGCTGTCCAGTGGGAGCAGGTGAGCCTGGGGCATCAAGGCTCAAGGGTAGATGTCACAGCAGGGCTGACACAAGCCTGGAGAAGTGGGACCAAACTGTTCTCCTGCTGGCACGTCAGGGCGCTTCCAGCCAGGGCTTGCTCCACACTGATCAAAATGTGACTCAGTTCTAGTCAGTAATAAAACCTCGGGCACAGAGGCTCCCATCCTCTCCCCAGTTTTCCTCTGTTGGGTGTGCTCCTCTGCATCGCGCTCCAAAGAGGTGATGGGGCTTCGCTGACAACCGTCCTGCTCTGCAGTGCTTCCACCCAAGAGATGGAAAGGAAGGAAATGGATCTCCCTGTGAGAATGGAGCGCAGGGAAAGCCAGGCTTGGCTTGTGCATCAGGATTAGTCCTTCTCTCTAGTCACAGCTTGCTCAAGGGCATGACATAGCCTTTGCTGACAACAGCTTTGAACTGATGTCTCACGTTCTTCTCCCTTTCTGCTTCAGATCGTAAAGGAGGCTTACCCTGATCACACACAGTTTGATCAGAAGAATCCTCATTATGATTCCTCCAGCAGAAAAGAGAACCCCAAATGGTCCATGGTAATGTAGTAAATACAGCTGCTTCAAGCTCTGTGTGCAAGCTGAGTGGAGGCAGAAGCCTCTTTGCATCATACTGTGTGTCTCCTTAAGCTTCTGTCCTGGCCTAGCTACCCTGTTCTCTCTCTCGAGGTCAATCCTGATAGTTTCTCTGCCTTTTCCCCTATTTCTTCCAGAAGGCTGCCAAATCTATCTCCCTAAGTCTTTAAATGTTGGATGCAGGCTGACATCCACACACAGCAGGATTCTGGGTTAGCAAAGAGGCCATCTTTAAGTACCACTCTCAGCAAGCTGTAGTTCTGAGGCACCCTCAATGACAGGGAAGTGACTGTTCACAGGCTGGCTACATCCCACAGCTTCCTTCTGTATTGCCTGTGCCAGCATGGATGTGTGCTGCTAGTGCCCAGTGCTCCCACTGCTGTAAGCACATCACCTGCCAGGAGCAGCCCAAAGTTCTTTTAGCCTCAAGCAAGGAAAAGCTTCCACACCATTAGAAGGTGGCATTTGCTTCAGTTTAAGGTCTTTATCCTTCTCCACCAATATCTTATGTGATGCCTGGAGGCTTTACCTTCCTCTGCTGCCCCTCGCTTCCCAGGTGGATGTGCAGTTTGTGCGGATGACCAAGCGGTTCATCCCGCTCTCCGAGATCAAGGCTCACCACCTGGCACACAAAGCAGATGGAGGCCCCCTCAAGGACATGATGCTCTTCACAAGGCAACGGCTTTCCATCCAGCCACTGACACAAGGTAGGAACCTTCTTCTCTGCACCCCCGGTGCTGTTCCCTGCAGGTGCAGCCCTCACTCCCGAGTGCCTGCAAGTCCCAGTTAACAGCTTTTCTTCCCTTACCTTTCCAACACAGAGGAGTTTGATTTCATCTTGAGCCTGGAAGAGGAGAAGCCACATTAAGAACCCACCAGCAGCACAGTTTGTACCTTGCCACTGATGCCTCCTCCTAAACCAGCCTAATTCCCAAGTTCCCTTGCTCAACCCCAGCAACAAAACGTGCCCACCCATGATCCACAGCTCCACGTCCCTTCTCCTCACACACTGTTACTTGCTTCTTTTTAAATAAAGCTTTTGAGAATCAATTGCAGCTTCTCTTTTGTAATAGCTGGGAAACCTGCAGTTTAGCTCCTGAGGGACCAAACATCCTCCTTGGGGATGTGCTACAGGATCCAGTGCGGTTCCATGTGCTGCAGAGGGACCTTTCTCTGCAGGAAGGTGTCACTTCAACAAGAACATATAAATACACATCCAGCTTGCTTGCTGCAAAGCACATCAGTTAACTTCCTTTAGGTACCAGACTCCTCAGGGTTATTTAAGCTCTGGTATCAGGGAAGGTAACAGAGCTACCTTGCTCATTTTAAGCTATAAGGGTTCTCCATCAGCAAAGCTTCTAAAGGAAGACCAAGGACTGACAAAGCTACCAAAGGACAGCCTGCTCCTGGAGGGCTGCAGTGCACAGCACTAAGGGAAAACAGCTTCATGCCATAAAGAACCCATGAACCACAGCAGACCAGGTCGTGCACAGCATTGACAGCCAGGGCTGGCTCTTTTTAATTGGAGAGACCCAAAAAAAACAACCCAAGTTGGAAAATACAGCCATTGAAAAGACGACGAATTAAGAAACATGTAAACACAGCAGAGGCTTAATTACAGGTTGCACTGCTTGGCTGGAGTACTTGCACCCTGCCCCTGCTCCAGCCTGCCTGGGCGAGAGGGAATGAGCCAAGGGCTGGACAGAACCTCAGGGGCCACGATGGCTCCGGTGCTGTCTGCCCCTTACACCCTAAGGAAATGCTCTTCTCTCATACCTGCAGTGACCTCATGCTTCCACTTCTCTCTGAAGAGGCTCAGCACATCTCCTCCACCCCAGACAAACACAGGGCCTGGTGGGCAACAGGGTGAATGGTCCATTAGATGAAGGAAAAAACGGGAATCGTTTCTACATCCTGGTTCCACCAGTAGGGATGCGGGAGAGGGGCACGGAGGAGGGCAAAATCAACCCAAACGACTCATGCACCTTTTCCAAGTTGACCCTCCCTAAGTGGTGAGCAGATGTTGAACAGAACTCTCCCAACTGTGCCTTGCTATCCCACATCCAGTACTGCTGCTGTTCAGCCAGTAAACAAAACACTCCTGGAATGCAGAGACACCTTCATCCACGGGGTTTTGCTAATACCACGTGGCCTACAAGCAAGAGGAATGGGCAAGGATGGGAATTCCAGGTGGGATGGGAGCCGAGGGAAAGCTAGAGGGGGGTTAGGGTACTGCTGTGCTCAGCTAAGCCGTGGAAGGATAATCTGCTATCCCCAGAGGCTCCCATCGGGAGCTTCACTCGTCCCTACAAGATTGTACTGCCACAGCACAGGTTCCCCCTACAGAGAGGGAGAGGAAGGAGTAAATCCAGATTCCTTTGCCAACGAGGCCTGCAGCAGATCCCCAACCCCTGCCCTGCCACAGGGCATGGTCTGACGCCAGGAAGCCCCAGCTCCAGCCCATGGCACAGACCTCTCATGGGCAGAAAGCAAGCCACATCTTCGGATGAGAGCAGCACACGGTGAGACACAGCATCGGGCAGGGACGAGCTCAGTAGTGTCCTCTACAACAGCGTGATCTGTCCAGCTCCACTGACAACCACAGCCTTACACGTGGTGAGTAAAAGATAACTTACTTTGGCAAGCAGAAACACACATTTATCACTGGAATACAGTAGCTGTCTTAGTACATAAAATGCTCCCCTTCCCACCCAGGCCCCACTCCCTCCACCAGCACTGCTCCACTAAACAAAGCACAAGATACCCTAGTGAGCCACCAACTCACTCCCACTCAATACAGCTCATATCCCAGCATTTCCTGCAGGCTTCTCTCTCTCCATCTGGGAAGAGGTCTAGCCCCCTGCGTCCTCAAAGGGCAGCTAAACAGGGTGGATGTTCTCTGGACTCCATCAAGTCTACAAAGCCACATCTAATTGTTAATGGAGGAATGACTCCCTTCTGGGAATGTTCTCATGATTTCACTTAGCTGAAGACTAGGAAAAGCTTAATTCAGGGAAGGAAAAGCCCACATTCAGGTTCTGAGTTCACAGCATGACCCTCAGACCTTCAAGCTCAGACCTTAGGAATGTGCCTCTGGAAACACAGAGCTCTACTCTACCATCCTTCCAGTTGCTGCTTGGCTTCATCCAGCAGCACACACAGGCCATAAGCTTCTTAAAACCGTTTCATCCACTTTCTGTCCTTCCTAATCCTCATCCCACAGCCTCGAGGAAGCAAACACAACCATACACATGTGTTTCTATACTGCCCTGTCTGTCCCTACTACAGACTGCTCTGACACAAGAACACAGGAACGAGCAGGACAGCATGTGCAGCGTAAGCTGCCAAGAGAGCCCCCATTGATGTCTCACCCCCCCAAAGCATCCTCTAGAGCTCTCCAGGCTGCTCTGCAGCAGCAGCCAGAGGGGGGCACGCAGGCAGGTGCTGGGACAACACTAGGAAGGCACTGCTCTTGGCCAGGAGCCTTCTGCCCCCTCCTATTGCCCACTCAACAGCACTGGGACCTTCACAGCTCTGCCCAACCTCATGCCTCGCTCCCTCCTGCCAGGCACAGCTCCTCCTTGCCACGACACACAGGAGCTCCACAGCAAGGCCACTGCAGCGTGCTCAGTGTGGCTGAGTCAGTGACACGATACAGCTGTTTGTGACAAGGAATCCAGCATGGAAAGGAAGGGGAGGCAGCGAGGGGATGACACTCAGCACTTCAACAAGGCCACACCTCAGTCCGAGTCCCTCCTCTACCTTCCAGCTAATCCCTGTGTCCCTTTCCCTCGTGCAGGTCTCAGGAAGGCAAGACAACATCCATCCTGCAGAGCCCCAGAGCAACCTCCACCCCGCTGGGAAGCAGCAGCAGCAGATGTGGCCTTCACTTGCTCTCTCCCTCCCCGCTGCCACACCAAAAGGGTCTCGGGGCAGAGAGGAGATCAGGCAGCTCCGCAGCCTTGGGACACCCGCCTCAAAGCAGCTGATCCCAGAGGAATGTCATTGACTGGGAAGCACTGAGGCACCTCCAGCTCCGCAGCACCAGTGCTGCAGCTCGCTTTGCCCTCCCATCCCTTCCCACCCTGCGAGTCCTTTGAAGAAAGGAATTAAGTCAAAAACGGGTATTTGTGTTCACAAAGTCTCTCAAGTGTTTTGTCCTCCTCCTCCTCCTGCTGCTGCTGCTGCTGCTGTCCCTCTGGCTCCACAGCAGCATCCTCTGCGTGGCCCCTCACTGCCGGCCGTTGTTCTCTGCAGGCTGGTTGGGGGTCTTGGCCTCGGGGTGCGAGGAGGTCCCCTCAAACCGCTGGGAAGCGATGGCTGCTTGGTGGGACATGCTCTTCCTCACGATGTCTCCTTTCCGCCAGAGCACCACCTCCTGCAGTAACACAGCCAGCAGGCCTGGTCAGGGCTTGTGGGGCCTCCTCAGCCTCCCAAAGGCTGAGCCAGGCGAGCAGTGAGAGCTCTGCCCATGCTGGCATCTTCCATTGCATGTGTGCATGAGGCCATTTGCAGCCTTGGTACGTCTGGGGAGAGCGCTCTTCCCCAGGGTGTGACCACACAGGGGCAACCCACTGGACATCTAGGGCAACCATGGGCTACCACATTGGAATGGGTAAGGTGAGAAGCTCCACCATGGGGCAACAGCGGAAAAAAAAATCCCAGTTAGGCACCTGCTACATGCACATTTGACCCACGTGGACCACTCTTTGCACACTCATTGGTATATGGATAGGGGTATATGGAATACCCTTATGGCTATTCAGTCAACAACATGATTCTCCCCATGGGAATCCCAAATTCCCAGAAGGTGCTTCTAACACAGGGTCCCAAGTGACAGTCCCCAGGTCCAAGAAGAAAACCAGCCCTGCTCCTCACCTGCTGTTTGAAGTAGCGCCTCTCTTCCTCATCGATCAGCACCAGGTTGAGGTAATAACGCACCGAGAACTTCTTGTTGATGTCCCTCATGGTTGGAGTCAGCTCGTAGCCAGCCAGGAAGAGCCTGATGGGAATGGACTCCCCTGCAAAGCGCACAGAACCATCAGCGCAGGCAGAATGCACAGCTGTAAACTAGGAGAGCACCAGCAAAACCCCTCACTAGGCCACAAACATCCACAAACGGGGTAAGATGAGCAAGAAGATCTCAGCCCCCTTCAGAAACCCACAGCCAGATCCTGCCCTTGCTGACAGCTACTCCACCTCCACTTCTAAGAGCATGGGACTCGCTGTGACCTTCATCAAGACAGCACTGCAGGAAGAAAGGAGTAAGGTGCCATTTTCTCTGGCAGAGGAGAATGTGGCACAGGAGACTGGCACGGAGCTAGAACATCATCTTTCTGCTCCAGGCTGCAGCAGTGCCAGCTGGTGGCCCATGCCAGCAGCGAATTTACATCTATTCCACTGCTTCAGCACAAGGTTGAAGTCATTGCAACTCATTATGCCTCAGTTCCTCCTCACCAGATCAGAGAAGGAAGGGGATCGTATTTAACCCCCTCTGGAAACTGCGGTGAGCCCACCAGTGAAGCAGGAGCACACAGATCCAGCTGGAGATACTGCAGGACTCCTGTTCCCATCCCAAAAGACTCCCAAGAAGAGGAATTCCGAAGGGTTCTCACCTCTCACAGGTGCCCCATCCATGATCTCGTATTTGGCTATTGTGTCATTCTCATGATAGACGTTGGGGCCGGTCCCTGTTGTTTCTCTCTTGATGATATCTATCTCCATGTGCTTGATCTTGATTCGCACCAGCAGGAAGTAGATCTTGCCAACAATCACATCTTTTAAATGATACCTAGCATGTCAAGGGAGAAAGCACCACAATCAGTATCCACACCACGACACCAAAGCCTCCAAATCCCATCTTTTAGGTCAATTAAAACTAACCCCAATATTACACCAGAGGGAGGTTTGTCAGCATCAGCTGGGAAAGGTGCATCAAAAAGAGCTGTTCCCACCTTCTCTGCCTGAATTAATGTCCCACTTCAGCTGCACTGACTGGTAAAGAGCAGACTCGATACTTGGAAGACACTTGGAAACACTGATCTTGCCAAGGATAATATAGGGAACACGAAGTTACTGCAGCAGCCTCACGTTGTGCTCCAAGCTTAGGGAAGCCACAGCCTCCCACGCCCTGATCATAGAGATGTGATCCCCCCACATCTATGGGGCAGGGCGAAGAACCCACAGATCCTCAGCAGGATCCAACCTGCCTTGCTGGAGCACATGAACACAGATTCCCTTTGAGGATCACACACGTGCCTCAGGCTGCCAAACCAAGCTGTCCCCTGTAGCAGATGGCTCCTCACAGCCACTGCCTGCTCTCAACACTTACTTGGACTTGTTGTACTCAAACTCAATGTGTAGGCAATCCTCAATGCCCACCTCCATCTTGATGGAGGAGTTGAGCTCCGGGTAGGTGCTCAGGGTGTGCACAACTATGTCCATCTCCTTCACCACGTCGTTCAGTCTGCGGCTGACGGTCGCACGGAGGAAATACCTGCAAGGCCAGTCCCCTCCTGTTAGTGGGGGCACAGGAAGCAACGGGGACAAGCAGGGAGGGATGTGGGGCCGAATGGGTTGCACTGGACTAGCCAAGCAGTCTCACAGGCATCCTGGCTTCTGGAGCAGCCAATACCCTGGGCTGGAAAAGCCAGAAGGGAGTTTTCTACTGGAAAAGGCTTCTCTAAGTTTCCATGCATTTGTGAGCCTGAGCTGCCCGAGTACCATGGTGGGGATCCAAGTAACAGCCTGCACATGGTAAAACCACTTTTGCAAGAGATGAGATCACGCTGGTCTCCACAGACACACCTCTTCTTGCAGATCCCAACTTTCCAGTCAGCCGGAGCTCCTCGATGTGAAATACATGCTGATAAAAGCAGAGCCCTCCAAGTCAACTCAGCCCCCCCCCCCCCAGATCCATTGGGAATGATGTCCTAAGCTTGTAAGGATGTGGGGGGAGGGATGCAGTGAATACCAGCACCTGCACACTGCACAGAGCATGGGGAGGGGACTCACCGTAGCTTCACATTCTGCCCCGTGTAGGACTCGTAAGGCTTTTCCACGTGGGTGAACTCGAAGTCAAAGGTCTGTGACTGAGTGAATTCACCAGGACGGGCCAGGTCCTTCACCAGGGACACGAACTCGTGGTGGTTCCCTCGGTCATAGTAGAGCTCTGGGGAGACAGAAGGGCAGGGTAAGCTGTGCTGCTCCATCCCGCACAGGAAAGAAAGGCAGGAGATGTCAGAGGCCCTGCAGCAGGAAGAGGTCTGTAACAGCCTCACCAACTCCAAATCAGGAGCTCACCTTGCCTCAGGGACGTGGGTCACCTCCTGTCAGTATTAATTAGACTGGTTGAGAAGAGGAGCCAGTGGCTCATGCAATATTCCAGGGAAAAGGCACCACCACCACTGCTTCTCTGGAACAGCAAACAGTGACTGAGCAAAATCAAGGACTAGGAGGCTTCCTGCTGTTCCTGCTTATCCTTTCAGGACAAAGAGTTTGAGTGGTCTTGATTTCCACCAGGGAATAACAGTGGAGATTGTCACTGCTCCTGCAGTAAGGCAGCACTCAGTGCATGACTGCCAAGTGTGTGGGGAGGAGGTTGAGTCAGGTGCTCCACCAGTGCCTGGATAACACATGAACACTGATGAGGGAAGAGCACTGCTCAAACCAGCTCAGGTAACCAACACCAGTCCATTGCTCCAGTTTCCCCCACAACCTTCTTGGGCCTGCAAGAAACAACTGCAGGGCTCCTCACTTAATGCACTTCCACAAGTGTTCTCCTTTAGGACAAAGCCACAGAAACTTGAGCGCTGCAATTTGCATTAACAGCTTGGTATTACAGCTAAGCATGAAGGAAACCTGCCCTTCCCAAGGCTGTGTGAGCACTCTGCCTACCAGACACCCACACAGGCCTTCCAAAAGCTAAAGCCTTTGCCAGTCTGATATGGTGAGATGAGGAAACCAACCCCCAAGTCATCAGACAGTCACTAAACTGTGCAGAGAAGGCTTCTAAGAGGGATTAGCAGTGGGCAGGAACTGATGTGAGACTCACTTCTCCACTCCTTGAGATGCACAGCGAGACTCCAGCTTGTGATTTCTGTTTCGTACACCCCTCTGCTCACCCTATCTCCATAATGGAAGTATTGGCACCAGGACACCCCTCACTTAAACTAAACAGCGAGTGCCATCAAGGCTGGGCAGGCAGGTGACATAAATAAAGCAGCTCTCTGCATTGAATACACGTCCACAGGGAGGGAAGTGCTTGCTAACGTGACAGGAGAGGCCTCGTGCCACATAAAAGGAGGAACAGATCATCTTGCCACACAATGCAGAAAGCAATTTAAAGCAAGGGGAGGCAAATGTCAGTGCTACCTTGGAAGGGCCCGGGCTGGCACTCCTGCAGCCTTAAGTGGAGGAAGGATTGGTGTTTCCCCCACTTCAGAAGACATCAGGATGGCAAGCAGGTATAAGTTGTAATTGCAGGTTTTCAGGGCTATAAAGTTTCCAGGTTAAACAAAACCATGCTCAGGACACTGCAAAATGAACCGTGCTCAGCAGTGGCTACACAGGACACAGTGTTCACAGCCTGGAACACCCATTCTCCCCACTACACCTCTGTCTCCCTACCTCTATGTATGGTGTGGACACTGACCTTGTGACAGTGGGGAGTTGGAATATAAGGCAGGCTGGTTTGAGATGGAAAGGATTAAGGTGGTACACAGTTCAGCTCTTGAATAAAGCTGCCTGATGGGCAAAAAGAAAGGGCTTGTGTGTGGCCACAGCAGCTCCTACCACACCTGCTGGGGTGATAATGTGACTTCAGAGCCCTTATTCAAACCAGGTGAGGCTCAAAAGTCTTCCAAAATAGGCAATGAGAAGCAGGTGAGGCAGCACAAAGCAGAGAATAGAGCAGGAAGTGAAGTTCATGCTTAATTTCCACTGACAATCATCAACAAATGGGCTCCCTCCTGAGGAACAGGCTTAGCTACACCCTGTTGTTTGCAGGCTCTCCTACCTGGCCTCCCCTTCCCTTCCAAAAAGCAGCATTAAGCACAAGTGAGGCCAACAAAATCATCAGGCCAACACCAGCATCAGGGCTGGGTGGAGAAACCTCCAGCTCACTTGCCTACAGCACATGATTTGCAATGCCAAGGCTGCAGGCCCACTGCTCACACAGTGGTTCTGGGGGTCAAAGTGCCACAGACACCAAATGCAGCTGCATCACTGGGAACACCAGCACAAGAGGGACCTGGAGCTGTTGGATGAGTCCAGAGGAGGCCATGGAGATGCTGCGAGGCCTGGAGCAGCTCTGCTCTGGAGCAAGGCTGAGAGAGCTGGGCTGGGGCAGCCTGGAGAAGAGAAGGCTCCTGAAGGGGAGACCTCAGAGCAGCTCCAGTGCCTAAATGGCGAGATGATGATTCCAAGATCCTGAACATTTTGGGGTGCAGGGATGAAAAACAGACATCTCCACTGGGATCCAGGGTGGGTGCTGCAGCCACCCTTCCTCTGGGAGAGCAGGAAACGTTCAATCTGCATTGGTTACACACTCGGATAACCAGAGTTTTGAACAACCTGAAGCCACCCAACGAACTATGCAGGGGCACACAGACATGCACTCGAGAAATAGAGTCCAAATGGAATGAGCCAAGCTGAAGAGAAGGCCTCAAGAACCCCAGCCTGGGCTGGGTTGGAAGAGACCTGAAAGCTCACCCAGTTCCAAGGGCAGGGACAGATTCCATTGGGCCAGGGTGCTCCAAGCCCCTGTGTCCAACCTGGCCTTGAGCACTGCCAGGGATGGGGCAGCCACAGCTTCTCTGGGCACCCTGTGCCAGCGCCTCAGCACCCTCACAGGGAAGAGCTTCTGCCTAAGAGCTCAGCTCAGTCTCCCACCATAAGAAAGCTCTTTCACTTGGGTCAAACAGTGAGGAGCAGGGGCTGTGGAAGCCCCTAGGATGGATGGGCAAAACCCACCCAATTGACCCCCCTTATCAGAGCCTTTGCTTCCCAAAGCGGGTGGACAGACACCTAAGTCACACCATTCTGGAGAATCACACTGCTGGGACGGCCAGGCTCAGCCCTGCACCTGCAGGAGGTAAAGCAAGCACCACCTCCCTCCAACACACATGCATCTGCGAGCTGAAATCAGTGCCCGAGCAGAGGCTGGAAAATAGGCCGAGGAAATGGGGAACAATGACCTGGAAAAAGGCTGGAGCTCCCTCCCTTCACCAGGTCACCCACCTCCATCCAGCAGAGGATGGACGGACTGCGTGTGGCCATAGGGATGCCCCGGTGGGCAGGCGCACACCCCGCTTCACACCATGCCCACCTCCACACCCTAAGGCCCAGCAGCATGGCCAGGACCCGTGCTATGGAGCCGAGGTGAGGGGAACGGGAGCGCGGCCTCACCGATCTGCCCGATGAACTCCACTTTGATGCCCTGGTGCTCCAGCCGCTTGTTGGGGTGCTTCAGGGTGAGCACCACCCGCCCGGACACGGTCTCCCCGTCATAGAAGAGGAAATACTTCTCCTTCTTCCCTTCCTCCGTCTTGTGCTCCACCCGCCGCCGGCTCTCGCCGTCGCTCAGCACCAGCTCCAGCTCCACGCTCTGCCCGAACCCGAAGAAGCTCATTGCACCGGCGGATGGGGGGGGGGGGAGCGGCCCGGCCTGGCCCCCGAGGGTGAGAGGAACGGAGGGGTCTCAACGGCGGAAGGGGCCCGCAATGCGGCACGGACACGGGCGGCGGGACCCGGGCGCCGCTGGAGGGAGCCCGGGGCGGGCGCGGCCCCGCGGCCCCTCAGCCCTCACCGGGAGCGCGGCCCCCGCCTCACCGCCGGCCCAGGCGCCGCGCACCGCGCATGCGCCGCCCGCACCACGGCGCCCCTCAGCGGGAGCCGGGCGCAGGCGCGCTGAGCGCGGCGCTGATTGGCTGCGGGGAGCGGCTTGCGGCACGCCATTGGCTGGTTCGTAAGCCGGGCGGTGGCGGCGGCGGGACAGTGATGGCGGTCGCGGAGTTGCTGTCGGTGCTGGCTCGGTGCAGGTTGCAGGAGGTCGGATCAGGTGTGCGACCGGGACGGCTTTGAGGGGGCCGTGAGGCCCTCTGAGGCTACCGTGAGGCCCTCTGAGGCTACCGTGAGGCCCTCTGAGGCTACCGTGAGGGCCTTTGAGGGGGCTCCGGAGGCCCTTGAAGGGGCCGTGAGTGCCTCTGAGGGGGCTCCGAGGGCCTTTGAGGGGACTGTGAGGGCCTTTGAGGGGGCTCCGGAGGAACTTGAAGGGGCCGTGGGGGCCTCTGAGGGGGCTCCGAGGGCCTTTGAGGGGGCTCCGGAGGCCCTTGAAGGGGCCGTGAGGGCCTCTGAGGGGGCTCCGAGGGCCTTTGAAGGGACCGTGAGGGCCTTTGAGGGGGCTCCGGAATCCCTTGAAGGGGCCGTGGGGGCCTTTGAGGGGGTTCCGAGGGCCCTTGAGGGGGCCGTGAGGGCCTCTGAGGGGGCTCCGAGCGGTCTCCGAGGGCCTTGGAGGTGTCTGAGTGGCATCTAAGGTTCATGACAGGAGCCAAGGGCTCCTGTGGGGAACTGGAGCTGCTATGCGTGTACGGTGCTTATAAACCCCCCCCTTTTATTTCCCCTTAGTCTGGGTGGATGCAGTCTGGGATCTGGATTTCACTGATACCGAGCCCCTGGATGCCAGCATTGTAGAAGAGATCACCAGCGATGGACTTGATGTCTTCACCTGTCTTCGCCAGGCCCTGCTGTGGTTTGCTGATGAGAACCAGCAGAGGGAGGTGAGGATGACACTGGCACCATGGAGGTGGGCCCTGGTGCTGTGCAGGTATTCAGGGCTGTCCCACCTGGGAACGTGTAAAATGCTCTAAGGCAGCACTAAGCAATCCTTGTCATGTTCTGGAATGCTTCAGAGGGAAGGTATTCCCATGGGTAAGAAATACTAGGTCATCTGTAGCATCATGTAGACTCTATATGGTATTATACACCTTAGCATAATTGTGAAAGCATTTTCACACTTGAAATTCAACTGTAAATTCCTGCCCGTGGTTCAGGACAATCCCCAGCACAAACATAGGCTGGGGGAGGTGGGATGGAGCAGCCCTGAGGAGAAGGAGAAGCTCCCCATGACCTAGCTCGAGTGTGCACTTCAGCCCAGAACCGCCCCTATGTGCTGGGCTGCACCCCCAGAGCGTGAGCAGCAGCTCAGGGAGGGGATCCTGCCCCTCTGCTGTGCTCTGGGGAGACCCCCCCTGAGTCCTGCATCCAGCTCTGGGGCAGCAGCACAAGAGGGATGTGGAGCTCTTGGAGGAAGTCCAGAGGAGGCCATGGAGATGCTGCGAGGGCTGGAGCAGCTCTGCTCTGGAGCCAGGCTGAGAGAGCTGGGCTGGGGCAGCCTGGAGAAGAGAAGGCTCCTAAAGGGGAGACCTTAGAGCAGCTCCAGTGCCTAAAGGGGCTGCAGGAAAGCTGGAGAGGGGCTTGGGACAAGGGATGTAGGGACAGGACAAGGGGAATGGCTTGAACCTGCCAGAGGGGAGACTGAGCTGAGCTCTTAGGCAGAAGCTCTTCCCTGTGAGGGTGCTGAGGCGCTGGCACAGGGTGCCCAGAGAAGCTGTGGCTGCCCCATCCCTGGCAGTGTTCAAGGCCAGGTTGGACACAGGGGCTTGGAGCAAGCTGCTCTAGTGGAAGGTGTCCCTGCCCATGGCAGGGGTTGGAACTGGATGAGCTTTAAGGTCCCTTCCAACACAAACCATTCCGTAGTTCTATGATTGTTATATGTTTATAGCATAATTGTTAAAACGTGCCTTTAAATATATATAGGGGGTTGTTTGGAGTGGGATCTGTTAAAAATTGAACAGTAACACTTGTGCAGAGTTATGCTATGGTGGTATTTCTCATTCTTACCTGTGTATTTCACCTCAGACCATCTGGACCATATTTGCTGAAGAGAACTTGTCTCCTACTGCTCTAGTGGCTGTATTACATCACTTTGTCCAAGCAGGCCAGCACAGGCAAGCTAACGCACAGAAGAGGGTTTTTGCTCTCCATGCAGCTGGGTTGTACTTCTTACTGCTGGAAATCCCAGGTGAGTAATGGGTTGTACTCTTGATTGTAGGATAAAGCATCATTCAGGCTAAATCAGCTTTCGTTTAGAAGGATTCCAGGTGGAGCAAGTGATGGTTTTAGAGCTGTCTGCTTGATCTCCCTGAAATTCTTGGGGATCAAACCCAGGCATGGTTCAAGTGTTCAGCCTGACAGCAGCTTGGTCACTGGTCATAAAGTAATGTGAAGGTGTCAGCTCGGGTCTGTGCTGCTGTGCATCTTAGTAGCTCTGTGACAAGTTGGACTCAGGAGTTTGGATGCTACACAGAGCTGAAATCACGTATCCCTGTGCTTAGACAGTAACACACAGTGAAGTCAGAAGCTTATTCCTGTTCCTGCTCTGTAACTAGAGAAGATTTCACTGTGTGGAGCTTTTGGACAAATTCATTTGTGAAACAATAGTTTTTGTGTAAAATAACCAGCAGTTGGAGTGTTCTAGCAGTCGGTTTTCTGGCTGTCAAAGCAAGCAGGGAGCTGGCCAAATGATTTGATGCTGTCTGTATTCTGTGTGGAAGATGCTGATGTTGTCTCTCCTGGGCAGGCAGTATAGTTAACCAGCTGTTGCACCAAGTGATGTTTGATAAGTGCCTTCACGCCCTGACAAAATGCTGGCCTCAGGAACCAGATCTGGCCAGGAAGAGAAAGAAGGTGCACACTCAAAGCTCTCAGACCACTGCAGGGAGAAACAGAAAGAAAGGCAAACCACGCAGGAATGGCCCCTCCCATGTAAGATGTTTGCATAATCTCTTCAGATATAAATCACTATTAGAAAGCAGTTAATAAGTTGGCAGACTGTTTCACTTCGAGGGCAGTGTGATGCTCTTCCGCTTTTCCACCCCTTTTCCCATCCCTACCCTTTCATTCAGCACTTCAGCTGTGCTCTTGGTCCTCTACCTAGTAGGAATTTCAGAAATCTAATGATGTGTGTGTGGCATATTGTCAGGAAGCTCAGCAGCAGAGGGAGAAACTACTTTGTATCAGCTTCCTCAAGAGGGTTCAAGTTAGTATTGGATGGACTTTGTCCTTCAAAACAAGAATAGGCTATGTTGGCACTTTCTGGTTTTGTACCCAGCTTTCATCTTCCTGTCTGGTTTTTGGGGTTTTTTGTCCCCTTCTGTTAAGTGTACTGGTTCATCTGAAAGAAAAGATTCCACATTTGGGGTGGGAAATCATGTAGGATGTAGCCTGAAAACTGAAATGTGCAAAAGAGACCCACCTGTGCTGTGGGGCAGGATGGTGTTGTTTCTCTTCTCTACCAATATAGATGGAAGAGATCCAAGAGGAAGAGGAGGAGGAAAAGGAGGAAGAGGATGATGAAAATGTTTACTTTTCAACAGATGACCTCCTTCAAGTTCGCAATGCCATCTTCTTTCTGCTCAAAAACATCTTGAGGCTGCTATCTAAGTTCCCCCTCAAAGAAAAACCTCAGTGTGTGCAAACCTGCCTGCGGGTAATGGGATTCAACTACAAGAAACCTGGAGAGGGGCTTTGAACAAGGGCCTGTAGGGAATGGCTTTAACCTGGCAGAGGGGAGACTGAGATGAGCTCTTAGGCAGAAGCTCTTCCCTGTGAGGGTGCTGAGGCGCTGGCACAGGGTGCCCAGAGAAGCTGTGGCTGCCCCATCCCTGGCAGTGCTCAAGGCCAGGTTGGACACAGGGGCTTGGAGCAAGCTGCTCCAGGGGAAGGTGTCCCTGCCCATGGCAGGGGTTGGAACTGGATGAGCTTTAAGGTCCTTTCCAACCCAAAACAGTCTGGGATTCTATCTGAGCGGGGTACCTGTTCCATGTTTGTTATGCTCAGCAGATTGTGTTTGGTTCCAAGCTGCTCAACCCTCACCATACACATGGTACTGAGCTGCTGGGCTTTGGGTCTGCTCATGTCCTGCTTCAAGGGAAGTGCTGTGGTTTGAAATACACACTTGAGTTCTGCCAGGTCTGACCCCCAGCAGACTTGCACACCTTCCCCGCTTGTGAATGAGCTAAGCTTGGCTTTCTTCCCTTGCAGGTCTTTATTGAAGTGACAAACTTTGAGCCAGTGGTACAGGAGTTCAAGTTCTCATCAGAAATGTGAGTAAAGAATTCTGGATGCTTGGGGGATTCTGTTGGTGTTAACCTATTGATGTGACAATGAAATCAGGGTTGTCTTGCACTAAAGATAATTAAAACATGTTCCCCCTAGCTAACAGGAAACAACACCTAGTGAATGTTGAATGTGTTCCAGTCAGTGAGCAGGTTTAGTTGTAGTAATTGTAGTAAATGCTTCTCTGATGAGAGATGATGACATCTCTTTGCCTCCTTTCGCTTAGGGATGTTGACAACGCCAAGTACATCTCCGAGCTGGCCTATCACGGGGTGCGGTTACTGTGCTCCCCTCTACATGGTACAGAAGATAAGGTAAAAGTTAGGCAAAATCTTTAAAATCCTCCCTGCAGTGGTTTTGTTTCCTTCTCTGCATGTCATTTGTGCGTGCATGTGTTTTACTTCTCCAGTTAGTTTTACTCTTTGTGCATGTGTTTGCTGGGTAAGAGGCGAGATGCTGTTTTCCATCCCAGCCCTTATTCCTTTGACTTGTATAGTGATGTGTTTTGTGAGCTTTTTCTGTGCTCTTGTGATTCTTGTGGCAGGTGAATCAAGAGCAGAGGATAGAGATCTCTGTTAAAGAGAATTCCAGGTTCCTGCGTTTGCTAGAATGCTTTTGTTTCCTGCTAGGTGGAGCTCCAGCACTGCTTGTACCGTGCTGCGGTGCTGGGCTGTGCAGCAGCGAAGCATGATGTCAGTGTTATGTGCAGACGCTGGTGAGCAGGGCTGATTCTGATGCAGAGAACACTGTCATCTGGTACATCTCATTCCATCAGGAATGTGTCTGCAGATCTTATTTTGTTAAGGTGTCAAGCACACTGTGTCATCTCGCTTAACCTGTGCTGCTCCTGTGGATGGGGCTTTTGAGCTTTGGGTGTGACTGTGCTGCTGTGTTTGTGGGTCTGTGTAAACCTATCTGAATTAGCTCTAAGCTAGCAAGCCAGGAGTTAGTGTCTAAGGACATCCCTGCCTCTCCTGTTTGACTGCTCAGAGTGTGCCAGGATAACAAGGCATGCTGTGATCCCAAAAGTATGGCAGGGAGGAAGCTCCAAAACACTTCTGTGTGCACACTAGCGAATTTCCTCAAATCCCAAACGTTTCTGACACATTCAAGTCCACTACTTTGCAGAGGGGGATACCTGTTGATGTTTTCAGGAAGCTCTTAGACATGAGCAGAACCCAAACCCTAGCAGCTCGATACCATGTGCGTGGTGAAGGCTGAGCACCTGGGAACCATGCCTTGCTGAATTGCAGTGAGAACATCCCAGCTGGGAAAGATGTGGTGTATTAATGAAGGGATCCTCTTTGAATTACTCTTCTGGGAGTCATGTTTTGTAGGTTCTGCCATTTGCATGTAAGCTTGTTTGGCTTGGAATTCTTCCATAAACCTGGCCAGAATGCTTATCCATGGGCTCTGGTTGCTGCTGAGCTGAACCTGAGAACAACCTTTTCTTTCCAGGTTCTCCGCTGTGTCTTCCAGCAGCTCCTCAGTGTCATCCTGATGCTGGAAGGTGGTGCAAGCTCCAGATTTGCAGTCCTTGCCATCACATCAGCTGTGATCAGTGCCAGGAATCAGGCTCTTAAATTTATCAGGTGAAGTACAGAGCTCTGGCACTACCCTGCCTGGGTAGGTCTGCTCTTTCTTCTGGCGTGCCCTTGCTTTACTGTTTGCTTGATAAAGGGATGACAAGAACTGGCACTGGCTTTGAAGTTGGTTGTGCAAATGAGGCTTAATTAACATGTCTGTAATGGGAATTTACTGAACTTGCTGGCAGAGGTGCTGTTTGACAGAGACGTGGCACTGGGTAGAAGGCATCCCCTTCCCTGTTTTGCTTTGTGTCAGCTTTTCAGCTCTTGTGGTTTACTACAAAGTATTTGGAACGGAAGATGACGATGGAGCTCATGTCTCCTTAGCTCTTTGCATTCTGCTTAAAGAGGGGTTTTGCCTGTGTTTATTGGGGATCTATGTGGTTGCAAAGTGTAGTTTGTAGAGACAACATCTAGTGAGTAGACTGAAAACAAAGAAGCTTTTCCTGTTTTCTACCTGCAAGCCAAGTAGGTCTGCCATGCCTATGTCTTGTTGCACTCCTTGACTTCTGAAATGCATTCCAAAAGGAATTTACTTCATTTTTGCTGTCTTCTAAACCCGGCCTTATTAACATCTGCTTTTCCTTTGTGCAGCTCTGTAGTGGATGAACTGAAAGAAGCTGCTTTTCCAGTTCTTCGGACATTACTGCAACATATCTGCACCAAGGTACGCTGAGCTTTGTTACCTCTGGAGCTGAAGAACTGATGGGTGGCAGTATCCAAGAATTAGGAAGTGGGTCTTAAAACAGCTTATGGGAATGCTGAGGGTGAGCGCTATCCCACTCATTTCCAGGTGGTTGTACCCCACTGTGACCTTTCCAAAATGTGCTGTTTCTTTACTCATCTTTTGGGAGGGGAAAATGAAGCTTGATTCTAACACAAGACTATCATCTGAGCTAGCTGGTGAAGGGCAACTCTTAACTCATCCTGTTCAAGTATGTGATTTACATTGACTAATTTAGTTATGTCAGAGAGCAAAAGTGAGCCTGGATGCTCACTGGTGCCCACGTGTTTAGAAAGGTTCTTGGGGGTTGGGGTTTGTTGGGATTCAGTCCCTGTTAATACAGGGGGGTTGGAATTATATGGTCTTTAAGGTCCCTGCCAACCCAAACCATTCTATGCTGAGAGCTCTTGGCCTAGATACCCATCTGAAGACAGTCAGGTAGAAATACTCCCTCTGGATTTAATCCAAGCTCCACCTTTCCCTGGGGGAGAGTGTGGAAATGCCACAGCATGCCGTTGCCCTTGTGTTTCAGGTCCCAGACAAGGCTGATTATCGCACATACGCTGCGCAGGCCCTGGTGACTCTGCTGAGCAAATTCCCTAATGTAGAGTTTGCTGACTTCATCGCCTGGCTTTACAAATACTCCCACAACACTAAAGTAAGTACATCTCCTTGATGCTGCAGGCTTCAGATGCAGCAGTAGGTTGAAGTTGAAGGGTTCTGAACATTGTTGCTGTTACTACTGGTACCTAAAGGCACCTAGTAGACCACTCCTGTGGCTTTGCTTACATTAACAATGTGCTTTTTCTTCCCAACAGGTTGCCTACAGGGTGTTTGCTCTCGATGTAGCCTTAGCTTTGTTGGATGTGCCAGAGAGGAACGTGGACACCTCCCTGTCCCTGGACCAGCAGAAGTTTCTAAAGCATAAGTTTTTAGTACAGGTGATGGTGTTCGGGCGCTGCTCAGACAAAGCACCTGTGGTCCGTAGCAAAGCTTTAAGCAGCTTTGCCCAGTGTCTTGAAATGAAAGCTGCTACTACCTTGGAGAGCATCCAGGACTTATTACAAAGCTGTAAGTATTAATGGATCAGATAGGGGGAGTATTTCTTGAACTTTGGGGAATAATTACTGGGAGATAAGAGAACTGGTGGTCAGGAACTTAAATCTGCTCATCCTTGCATATTGTGTCATGATGAGAAGTAAGAAATGTGTCTTGTTACTCATGAAGCCTTATATTTGGAAGGGATTCATTCTCACGAGCCAGTTCTAAATAGATGCTTCCATATGAGATACCTTTGAAAGATATTTGCAGATGACTGAAATTGCTCACTGAAAAAATATGTTTGTTCTTGCCTGAGAGTTGCTTGATTCTTGAGTTGCCTTTTGCTCTTGTGAAGTTGTGTGCTCCTCACTCGCATTCTGAACTCCCTCAGGTGTGGTAAAGGCCAGATGGCCCAATTCAGAGAGATGCATGTGGCATCCTACAGTTAGATGAGTTGCCTGAAAACAATTTGGAAAGACAGAACATCTGGAATTAAAAGACTTCATTTATTTCTCTTCTTTGCTCTCTTTTCGGCCTCCCAGTCTTGGAAGCAAACACAGACGCTGCGAGTTTGACGGTCAGTGCAGAAGGTACAGAGCTATTCTCTTCTAGTACGTTTTTGGCTTTTTTTGGCATGCCATGTTCTGTGCATATGCATCCCTGTAAAGCCTAGGTCACGTATGAGGCTCTTTGTGTAACAGTGAAGTATCTGGCTGGGCGAACATCTGCCTTCTGAGCTCTTAAAACTTGCATTTTCCTTCCAGCTGTGTCCAGCCATCCACTGAAGACCTTGCCCATGTTCAAAACCATTGAGCTGACAGGCAACAGCAACGCTGCTGGCCTTGATGGTATGTCAAAATCACACTTGCTTTTTCACGTGAATTTTTTCAAAGCCTTCACTGAAATGAGGCCTTCTGAAGTGTATTCACTGTCCATTTCTCAAAGAGAGCAGAGGGTTTTCTGTAGAGCTGTTAAAAACCACTTCTGGGTGATGAAGGGGGTGGAAGTGGCAGCTATAAAGAAATCCTGTTTCTACTCAAGTGTGACAAATACATGTAATCTTGAAATCCTGATGTTGGTTTGTACGAATGTAGTGGTAACTCTTGTGGAAAAGCAGGTAACATATCCTTTCCAAGAAGGATGGGGTATGTTACTTGGAACTCCATAAATATAAGGGTAATTGCATCTTTTGCTTCAGTGCCAAAAGAACTGATATATTTTTGCCATGTAAACCACAGCACCTTTGAGTAGGACTTGTGGGGAAGAATTCACTTCTCTGCAGCATCAGGAACTGGCTGGAGTTGAAAGCCAAGGGTGAGGTGGACTAACGCAGAGCGGCAAGCAGCTGGTTCTAATGTGTTGGCAGCATGAAATCAACTTTTGTGGCTCTTTGAATCTCTTCCTTCTTTCCCTCTTCGGCTGAAAGCGTTTCTTCCAAACCTTTAGGCCTGTGCAAGTATCTCTGCTCTGAGTTCTTGCTGCTCACCTCCCTTGAACAATTCAGCAGGCGGCTTGGTTCACATCCTGCATTTGTGGCTTTGTTACGTGCCTCATGCTGTGCTTCACATGGGATCTCTCTCCCTATCTCCATGAGTCAGGCTCCAGTCTTTTCCATTGAAAGCTTTCCTTTAAAGCGTTGCCCTGATAAATGTCATTAATCTGCTCTCTCAGATAGAAAAGTCCTCCAGGCCACTTAAGGTATTGTGTATTCCCTGTGTTAGTTGCAGGCTCCTTGCAGCAGAGGATGCCTGGCTTTGTATCCAATACCCAGCTGAGCATATATTTGGCACGTGGCAGAACAACTTCGGGAAAGGATTGGATTAAAAAGGGCTGTCTTGGGCTCAAGAGGATAGCTGGAATACAGGGCCTCCGAGTCAGTCAAGATGCATTAGCAAAGCTGTCTGGCACTCACTTGTGTTTGGCTTATGCCTGGGCTAATCTTGCCCTTCTGTGGAGACCAAAGAGCTTGTATTGGAGAAGTGGAATAAATCTTGCTTGAGGACAGTCAGAATGTGCTGATTGCACAAGGGCAGAGATCAGAAGAGGAGGGGAATCTGCAGGGTGCTGAGGAGTTACAGCATGCAAACCTTGGTGCTCCCTTGGTAATCCTCAGCCATTCTGTTTGTTTGCTGGGTTGTTCTGGGGTTGGTTTTCCTCTTATGGAACTGGGAGTCAAGTCAGTGTCAGGTGGCAAAATGTGGTTGTTTTCACACATTTGGTCACCTTCACAAGACCCAGTGTGTTTTAATGGCAAAATCTGGTGCTGAAAAGGGTTTTTTTCTGTCAAGCTGTTCTCAGGAGGAAGATGTGATTGCAGTTAACTGCCCGTTAAGATTGAAGTCCCTTTTCCAGCTACTTTTGATTAATCCTATTTCTTAATGGCAACAGAGTGGACCTCCATGTGGATCTCTTGCCACAGGCACCCAAATTTACCATATCTTGGGCAAATCTTCCTTGATGCTGTAAGAAATCTAACAAACAGCATTAAATAGAAACCTTAAAAGCAATAGTAAAATGCATCAGTCAGGGTTGCCAGCTTGTCGCTAGCTCATTTGAATGATTTAAAGGTGCTAAACAATTGTTTGTGGCTCTGTGTGTTCATTTTTGTGGCATTTAATAAACTCCATTATGTATTTTTCCTGAAAGCATGCAGAAATAAGTATGACTGTGGCTATGGAAAGTGAAATCTGAGGCCTAATTTGATGTTCAGAGTGGGAAGATGTGTTCTGGTTCCCTTCTCTTGGGTTCTTTGCAGCTGCCTTCTGCAGCCTCGAGGAGTTCATTTGGCTCATAAATGGAGTCATTTCCACTCTAGGAAACACAGCAGTTCATACATTAATGCTTTATCCTGTGTGGAGCTCTGAGGCATAACTCACAAAAGGTTGTAGGCATTCAGAGCTCTCTGCTTACAAGTCTATTAACCTGCCTTGGTTTCAGACCTGGAAGTCTCGGGCAACAAATTGCTTAGTTGAGTTGGGAGCTGTACTCCTTGTACAGCGTGGCAATGCTGCTAAATGGCTCACTTCTTGTCATGGTTTTGGATAGGAAAAGAAGTCATGGCCGTGCTGAGACGGAGAGCTGGAGATGAGAAAACCAACGTGAGGAAATCTGCTCTGCAGGTGGGATGGCTTCTGCTTGATTACCCACAACACTCATACAAATGATGAGGCCATAGTACTATAGGGAACTCTGCAACTTTACCCTGTAGCTTCCTGCACAGTGCCTCCAGGCCTTGGAAAGATCTTGTTTCCTAGCTCCTGATCAATAAATAATGCAAGCATGATGATGGGAGATTGTTCTAGGACTCTTGCTGGCTTCTCTTAGCCCGTCATTTAGAAGAGAGGCTCTTTGCAAATGTCAACAGGCATTTCAATTAAGTGACTTCCTTGGAAACTGAAGCAGATTAGCTGCTTAGTTTGTTTTGACCTTGTTACGAAAGAGATTGGGTTATAGCCAGGCTCTTTTTGAGGGATGCTTTGCTTGTTGCTCCCTTTATTTAATGAAATCGTTAGCTTTTAAAGAGATGTGCTTCAGCAAAGATCTCATCCCTTTAAAAACCACCTTCCTCTGTTGGTCCTCTGCACCCCAACTCTTCCCCCTGATTCGAGCTTCCCAGGTAACAAACATGGTTCATACAAAGATCTGTTATTTTCAAGGGGAAATAGTGACATTTGCTGCATCCAAATGCTGTTTCAAGAGCAGAATGACTGAAAAGATGCATTTTGTTTCACTCTACATCTCTGCACCCACTACGCATAAATTGTGAATGTGATATCTGGCTCTGACTGAGGGAAATTCATCTCTGGTTCAAGTTACTAGGAGTGGATTGTATTTTTGATTGGCTACTTGATGCACATGGCCAGTATTCCCGAATTCCAGGTTTTCATGAACATCCTGAAGCACCAAGTGATCCCTTGCACTGCAGAGGATTTGTGCATCCTTCAGGACCGCTGCCGGGACCCGGCTGTCTCTGTGCGTAAGCAGGCCTTGCAGTCTATAACAGAGCTCCTCCTGGTGAGTGATCTTACACAGATGAGCAAAATGTGAGTTAAAAGGACAACAGATCTGCTCCATATCAGTTGTTCATTCAGTGAATTCCATCCTATGACTGTGTCTTAGTATTTTTTGTTACCTTTTGACTCGGAAGCCGTGATTCATTCTTACACATACTTGTGATTGCTGCAGGGTGCTTCCAACTGTTGGAAACATCTCTGTTCCCTGGGTGTTGATCTCTGTGTCATGGAGAAAATGTTTATGTGGCTGGCCTTCTCCAGTTTGAAAGAAAATGTGAATCACTCCACTGAAATGCAATGTGGAGATGATAGCACTGCAATATTTTGCTTTTCTATTTATTCACAATGGGTTAGTAACATGGAGCCCAGGGTTTATATTAAGCAAAGCTGTTTTTTTAGTGTTAGATCATCTGCTGTGCAGCTTTATTGTGATACTGTGAGAACTATTTATAGGGTTTCAAACCAAAGTGTTACAGTACTTCAGCAGAAGCACCAGCTATGATCAAATGCCTTGTGGTGTCAAGGAGGTACAAGTTCCCTTATCCTATTGCTAGTTGAGCAGTATGCTGGCATTTATAAAGATTCACTTACCAGTCTGAACCTGGAGGTTCCTAGGCCTTTGCTGATCTTAGATCCTGTAATGATTTAAAGATGTTTCTAACACAACATTGCGTTTCTGTCAGTCTCAGCACAATAATGCTCTAGTGCAGAAGGCCTGGTTAAATGGAGTGGTGCCTGTTGTGATGGACTCGGAGAGTTCTGTCCAAGAAAAGGCCTTGGATTGCCTTGATCAGCTCTTGTTGCAGCATATAAAACGTTATGATAAATTCAGGAGTGATGATGAGAATCAGGTGCTGGCATGGGATCTCCTCACCCTCCTGGCTTCAGACAACCAGGAGCTCAAGTAAGTGCGTTTTTCCCCTCACCGTGAGCTCTGTTGGCTTTTCCCTTTGTTCGATGCCTCGGGTGCTCCTATTGCCTTTACAATGTCAGCATTCAGGTCCAAAACCCAGTACTGTTACTTGGAATCCCATTAGGATATGCAGCTTTCCCAGCACAGAGAAGCTGGTGAGAAAAGTGCAGTCTTCCTTTGTGAAGTGTTTCCCCTTGCTGCTCTTGTTACCTGTGCTCTGTCCTTGCACCCCAGTGTTCACACAGGAGTGGTGCGTGCTGTTCTTGACGTGTTGCTAGCAGCATGACTATTTAAGTCAGGTGGAGGTGTTGTGACGACAGAAGAGGGGATATATAAAGAAAAGAGAACATCGCCCTGTATTAATTCTGATGTACAATATGTTACTTGTCTTATGACAAATAGAATTATTCTGCCTTTTGTAGAATGCTGTGGGAAGAAACAGCAGAACTGGCATGACACACAGTATGACAAGGACACAACATTGGTTAAAGGCAGCTGTGTGTTTATTAGTCAACAGGGCATAACTGCTCAGAAATAGAAAAGGAGATGCTGGTGGGGCTGCCTTGCCCATCTGTGACACTGGCAATGTTCTCATTTGGGCTATTTTCTAACATGCTTTGCACAGTCATGGTGCCTTGGAATACCTTGCAGCTTGGTAGAGCTCAGAACTCTTTCCATGTGAAGTAGATAACTGGTGTTAAAGAGGAAAATGAACAAGTTTTGATGCCTTAACATGAGTGTAACCTGTCCCATCCATGGCTATTCAACAACAGCTACTAGAAAGTGTTAGATTGCTGGAATGATGTTTTCTTGATGAGTCATGATATCAGTTGGACCTTGCATCTTACTGACACGGAGCACTACCTCCATGCTTGTGTGCCAGGGCATCAGGACAATGAGCTGAAACAAAATACTGCTAGTGAATAGGTGGTAGATATCCCTGTGTATTGCAAGTCAAGGGAATGCCAAGCAGTAGCAGCTTTGTTGCTTTGCCCAGTGTATCCTGGATAGGGATGCTGGATTTTACTGTTTGTTCCCACCTTTAACTTGTCTTCTTTCTCCCCTACAGCCGTTACTTGAGCAAAGCTTTTCATGTGTGGTCCAGACAGAATAAGTTCACCTCCACCTTCATTAATAACATCATGTCTCATGTGGAAACAGAGCATGCTGTACCAGCCTGGATGCTGCTTGCTAAGGTGGCACGTTCTTCCCCCAAGATGGATTACTCCAAGATCATTGAATCCTGGAACAATGTCAGCAGGTATATGTGTGCTTTGAGCTCCATTCTGCACTGAAAGAGATGGGGGTGAAGAGGAGAAACAAAGCAAGTGAGCACGTTCTGTCCTTCCCCAGGCAGTTTGCTGCTTAGATATCACTTCTTGATTCAGGCAATCTGTTCTGCAATGGGAGGCAAGCAATGGCCCACAGTTTGTGCAGTAACCAGCTCTTACCTAAAGCTTTTTGAGTTTTCATTTGGTTTGACAGGGCTGCCTTAATAATGCATATCCCAGATGAAAGGATCTTTCTGCTGTGGTTTGGTGGTGTTTCTTAATGTGAGCCTGTCTGCTCTGCTCTTTTTCAGGCAGCCGAACATAAGCGCTGATACTACAGGACATATGCTGTGTGTTGTGGGTCATGTCGCAAAGCACCTCCCTAAAAGCACTTGTGAGAGGCTGATTGGTGAGTGGCCCTGAGAAACTGCAGTGGGGAAGGCAGGGTTCATGCCTCCCATCTTCAGTTAGTTCTTCTCCATCACTTGGGAAGCTTAGAAGATGCTCATTTTCTGGGTTTCTGTTGTTTTCAGATCATCTCAAGTGGTGGCTCAGGGATTCTCAGTGTCCCTTGGAGGTGGTCAGCCCAGCTGTGGAGACTCTGCAGAAGCTCTGCCATGCCTATGCAGATGTGGTGGAGGAGGCACAGGTGTGACTGAAAAGACAGCTTCTAAAATAGCTTGTTTCACACGTTGGAGAGCTCTCTGTGTCTCCAGTCTAGGCTCTCTTAGCAAAGGGGAACTGACTCCAGCAGCTCAAGTCTGTTCTGCTCAGCTCTTACCTGCTTTGCTGCAGTTGTGCTGGAGAGCATCCTATAAGGATGGGCTTGTGAGAAATCATCTTTCTTGAGAAGGATTTCTCACCACCACCACCTGAAATACCTTGCATTTGCCTTCTATCAGAGCTGACAGATATAGGAGCCCTATGGCTGTGCCTTTTGAAATCAGCTATTTCTCAGGCTTACTCCAGTTTGGAGCTGCAGGCTTATACTATAAGCTCTGAGTATTCTATACCAGAGCTGCTGTACATACACACATTTTTTAGACCTCTTTCATGGGACCAAACAGGGAGTTGATAACACATCACTTGCTCATTTATAGTGCCCCTGTTTCATACCATAGCTTGTTTCACTCCTGTAGTGAGAAGGTAAAATAGACATCTCAGCCTGAGCACAGTCTCAAAGAAGCTAAAACTAGTGCAGGTCTCTCTTGCTACTGTTTTCTCTTTGTGTTCTCTATCTCTTTCAATATTGATGGCAGCTGTTTGCATTGTGTTTTCATTTGAATAGAGCTGCGTTTTCCAAGCAGCCTGTGAAAATTCACACAGGTAACCCCAAATGTGTTGGATGTACATGAAACAGTCATTTAAATCCTTTTCAAGTCTCTGTGATTTCTATAATGAAGTAAACTTAGGCCTGTGGATCATTAAAAGCCAGATTCTCCAAGATGTTTGGACACTTGCACACATCTTTTGATGTGTAGGAGGAATTTGAAAGCTCTAAGGCCCTGTCTGATTGATTTCAATAGCACCTAGATTATTAAAAGCGTGTAAGTGCTTTCAGATGAGGTTTTCATGTATGGACAGATATTCCAGCTCCATTTTGCTTAATTAATCAAGTGCCCAATTAATTTTGTTTAATTATGGAACAGGAGCTGCTCAACCAGGTGTGTGGAGATTTAGTATCCAACTGTGAAAGCTACATCTCGAATATAGTCCTCAAAGAGGATGGAGCAAAGCAGCTGCAGGAAGATCTCTTGGTATGTTTGGTTCCCCTTCACAGACTGCTCAAAGGCTGGAGGTGTAGTTGAGACTCCAATAACTGTTCCATAGGAAAATCCTGGTGTGTACTTGTGGGTACACACTGGAATCTGGTATTTGTGAGCATCCAACAGTTTTATACAGCACCACTTGCTTTAAGGGTATGATATCCCATGTATTTGTAATAAAATGACATGGGTTTTCTTTGCTCTTCCACTCGTACTTCTTAGATGAGCTGTTTGGGAGATAAGTGTGAAACACAGGGGTTGCTTTTGAGGTGGATTTCAATGTTATTGGAAGTTGGTTTTGGAGAGGTAGCAGCAGAGTCCTGCTGGCTTCATTTGCAGCTCAGGCAGTGCCTTTGGACTGCAGTGGTGCTTTATCTCTGTAGGTGAGACACCTCTACCTCCTGGGGGAGGCTGCACAGCTCTGTCCAGCCAAAGTGGAGAAACGTGTCTTCCTGTTGGTTCAGTTCATTCTGGCTGCTCCTGTCAGCGAGGACAAACGTGAGGCTCTCTCCTTACTGCCTGTAGCATTGGGCTTACAGACAACAGTGTTTACCAGAAGAGCATGTTCTCATTCCTGACCTGTTCTTCCCTAGTGATCAGTCCTCCAGATGGTGAGGAAATCCCAGCTTCACAGCCGCTGTCCCAGTTCAGAGGATCAGCCATGCCATCAGTGGTCAGAGCTCATGCCTTCATTACTCTAGGTGAGTGCCATCCTGCAGTAGAAGCTGGCCCTTATACCCAATTCCCAGCCTTCCTGCTTCAAGTTCTGCTCAAAAACCTGTGTCAGTTATAGCCACAATGCTCTGTGTTGTCATCTCCTCAGCTCATGGCTTTTTAGCAATGCAAATATCCATGGTAACAAGTGGCACAACCATAAAAACACATCCTTGTGGCTGTTTCTCATGGTGGTTAATGTGTTAGTGGTGACCACCAATTAGCAGTGTCCTTCAGAATCGTACTTGGTTGATTGCTGTCTGGCTGAAGGATTCTCCTACGTGTAGTAAAAGGATGAAGAAAACTTGGTGCTTCTGATGCACTGTAGAGCAGAATGAATGCACACAGCTCCTTGTTCTCCTCAGCATGAGGGAAGAACTTCTTTGAGAGAAGCCTCAGTCTGCATCTCCAGTATTATGGAGAGTACTAAGTGCAAGTTCTGCTTTCATAGTACCTCTGTGGTACTCTGTGCTCTCGCAGATAGACAGTATTATTCTTTCCTTAACTGCTTTGGGAAGCTTAATTCTTTTGTACAGAGCTTAGAAACAGGGAGAAGTAATGTTAGAATGCAGGCTGGTTTATTTTAGGTTGGTTTAGTGATGCTCTCAGAGGTGGGTGTCTCCCTGCTATGCCTATGACAGCTGGGGCTGTTCTTTTTAGCTGCTTTGAATAATACCCTGTACACAGAAATAGTTTGCTGTGAAGGAGGGAATTTGGCATAGAGACCCACGCTAAGGGTCTAAGTGGAGTTTGGAAGAACTCCTCAAAGTATCATTTCTTGGAGAGATGGCGCAGATTGCTCATCAAGTTCCCATGTGTGTTTCTCCTTTATTCCTGCTAACTTCCCGATTCCTTTCTTGGCTCCTATTGGACTCAAATGAGGCAGAAAGCTGGGCTGCGATGGTTAAGAAGAAGACTGTCTTTACAGCTCTGACAATCTCATCCCTGTTTCCCAGGTAAATTGTGTTTGCAGCATGAGGATCTGGCCAAGAAATGCATTGCAGCTCTCGCTCGAGAGCTGGAGGTGTCACAGGATGTGGCTGTTCGCAATAACGTTGTCATCATCATGTGTGATCTGTGTGTCCGTTACACATCCATGGTGGACAGATACATTCCCAACATTTCCTTGTGCCTGAAGGACCCCCATCCCTTCATCCGTAAGCAGACACTGATCCTGCTCACCAACCTCCTGCAGGTAAATAGGGGGCCTGTGTCTCACAGCCTGTCCAGCCAGTGCATTGCTTACACCTTGATTCATCTGCACTTCAGCAGGAAGACTTTGTGTCTTGTTCCTGCTTTGTTTTGCTAGCTGGGCAGGGATCCTACTGAGGACACTTTATGCAGTTGGATAATGAGGTTATTTTTAGTCAGTGGGTACCTCTTTTCTCACCTTCTGTTTCTCTGAATTCCCTTCACTCCTGTATAAATGAATATAACGAGCATTGCAGCACCTTCTCTCACTGAGAAGGCTCAAGATGTTTACCCTCCTCATATCCGTATGAAGCCAGGCAAGGCAGATTTGGAGTGCATTTGGCTCCCAGAAGAGCTGGTGAAGAGCATATGTGCCTTGGGATGCTTCAGCTTTCTCACTGGGACCTGTGGCAAACATGGATCCTTGCCACTGTGGCATCTGTATGTCCACTCCAAAAGGAGCGGTTTGGGGTTGATTTTGTGTCCCTCCAGCTGAAGGTACCTTGCTCATCTGCCTGATGTATCTTGTGCTGGCCTCCCTCAGATACTGTCCTGACAACAGCCACAAGGCTTTTCCTGATCCGGGTGATCTGTTTGCTGTTTCTTACAGGAGGAGTTTGTGAGATGGAAGAACTGTCTCTTCTTCCGTTTCATCACTGTCTTGGTGGATCCGTGTCCAGACATTGCCAGGTAAAATACTCACCTGTGAGTTCAAAATGTGGGCTCAAAGCCAGTCCTAGCCTTGTACCTTCAGCAAGCAAAGCAAAGATCCAGTGAGAGAGATCCCATTAACCTCTTCACTTCTATGGTGGTTCATGCCTTAGGGTCTGCCATGGTAGCAAAGGGGTGGGGAACTTCTTTCCAAGTCATCCAAAGGACCCACAGTAGCAAGCTGTGTGTGCTTGCCATGCAGCTCTGCTCTGGTTTTAACTCTCAAGTTATCCAGAGAACAGGAGTTTCTGAAGCAAGCCTTGGTGAAATTCTCCTTGTGGTTTTCCAATAGGCTCTGTCTTGAGGGGTGGTTTTGGTTTAGGGGTAGGATTAAATATTCTCCTTTTAAGCCTTTCACCAGTTTGTAATACTCTGACACCTAAGAGGACTTGTGCTCACTGGCTTTAAGTGCTTGTTTGTGATGTTTCTGTGGGTTTCCAAGCCTCAAGTTGCTCTGTTATGTGAGAAATGGGAATGGGGCAGGTTCCCCTAAGGGTGGTGCTGCGCAGGAGACTTGGACACTGCTGCTTTCTCCCTGGAACAGTCAATCTGAAGGTTGGCATCTCTGGCACCATCAACCTGTCATTGCTTCCTAGTGCATATTCACACTTTGTTTTCTCTTCAGTGAGTTTAAGATGCAAAAATGTCTTTCCAGTAGATGGTGACATTGCAGCATCCCGTTCCCAGAGCTTCAGCTAAGGAACATGGTGTTATTTCTCTGGGAACCTTTCTCTTTGCATCTGCATTCAGTGACTGCATCCAGACAAAACCATGTTCTTCATGTCTGGGTTTGACTTGCAGCTGTTGTGGGGATTTTGGTGATTCATTCTGTGCTAAGTGCTGTGTCTCAGTCACAATGGAACTTAAGTTATTTAAACAGTCTTCTGCCTGGATTCAAGTTCAGTCTCTCTTTATTGGCACAAAAATTGTAGTATTGTGGATGCTGAGAATGTCTGTCTCTTTCTGCATGAAAAAAGGCTTAATGTCAATGAGCTGATAACCTTGCTCAAGCCCAGCTGAAGCCAGGCAAGGATTAAATGTGGTGTTGAGGGAGAATTGCAAGAGGAAAACCACCCTACTGCTTTGTAGCTTCTGAACCCTATGCTGTGTTTCAAGGGGTGGCTTTAAAAGCTATTTGATGCTAAGTTCTTTGTTTTCCTCCTTTTCAGGTTTGGAGAGTTCTGCCTGGTGCATCTCTTGCTGAAGAGGAATCCTGTAATGTTCTCCCAGCACTTCATTGAGTGCATCTTCCATTTCAATAGCTACGAGAAGCATGAGAAGTACAACAGGTTCCCCCAGAGTGCACGGTCAGTTGAGCACATACCTATCTCCTCTTTGCTAAATGATGGGCTGTCTGGCCCATCATTACCAGCCCCGGGGCAAAGGTTGGGCTTGACGATCTTAAATGTCTTTTCCAACCTAGTTGATGCTATGACAGCACTTGTGGCACTGTGTAATTATGTATGCAATAGGGTGAAAGCAGCCAAGGGAAACAGTGTTAAATGCAGAGTGCTCTCCCTTCCCTGTGACACTTCTGGGAGGGGAGGCCTCCTGCGTGTGATTTGTGGCAGTGTGTGGTATGCTAACAGGTTTATGGGTCTGGAAATTGACATTCAACTATTCCTTGATGATTGAAAGTTATTTCGGTGACTTCATATAATGTGACTTGGCCCTGGTAATATGTCTTGCTCATCCCCAGGGCGAAGAGTCTCTTTTCTCTGAAGGGGAAAGAAAACAGAGAGAAAAGGATGCTTATCTACAAGTTCCTGCTGGACCACTTTACAGATGAGCAGAGGTTCAGCATCACAACAAAGATCAGCCACAGCGTCCTAGGTAAGGGCCTGTCCTTTAAAGTCTGCCTAACTGATGTCTTTATAAGACCTCAATCCAGCCATGGTATCTTCCTGTCTTTGCTGGCACTGCTGCTTTCAGTATACTACTTATTTCTTCCCCTGTGTTCCAGCATGCTTTGTGGATAACATCCTCCCATTGGACCTGGAAGCCAGTGAGCTGCTCTCAGATACGTTTGCAGTCCTTAGCTGCAAAGAAATCAAGCTGTCAACTATGAGGTCAAAACCAGACGAAGATATTCAGCCTGAGGAAGATGAAATGGCAATGGCCAATGCTGTCATGCAGGTGGCACAGAAAAAGCTCATCTCGCAGGTGGGTGGCACTTGATCTGGAGTGGGGAAAGGACTGGCTTCTTAAGAGGCTCTGCTTAGGTTAAAAGCCTATGTACGTATGTATGGTGTTAAGAGCAGGCTTAACTGTGGTAATTCCCTTGCTATGGAGTGATAACTCCTCACTGAGACTGTTCATCTAACCACAGAGTGGCTTGTCCCTTATTGCCTTGTGTAACTGTTGATGCCTTGTTCAAACAAAGGTTCAAAAGAAGAACTTCATAGAAAACACCGTGCCAATAATCACATCCCTCAAGTCTCTGATGGAGCAGAAGAAGCTCCCAGCTCTCCGGGACCTTATGAGCTACCTCCAGGTAAGGGGAAGTGTTTTCTTGTTGGGTTTCTTTTTCCTCTCTTGCCTTAATGTGTTAGATGTGCAACTGGGAACAGAACAGCCTTCTCAGAGGGAAATTTAGAAGGCATATGATGTTGTGACACTGCCACTGTGTTAACTAACATAGGAGGCGAAGGGATTTTAGATCAGGATCAGTGTGATATGTGTGAGCCTCCTCAGTGGAACGTGGGCAGAAAGCCTGAACGCTGGAAAGCTTTTCCATGTTCTCAAGTACAAACTGGAATCGAAACTCTTAGTCTGTTAAAAACACCTCTGCTCCACCAACTGGTATTTCCTTTTGCACTTAAGCAGCTGTGATCTGAATGGGGATGTGAATCAGTAGTCAAGAGATTTCTGAAAGACTTGAAACATTCCTTATTGCTCCAGGAAATGATGCAGGATTACAGAAATGAAATCAAGGACTTCTTTGCTGTGGACAAGCAGCTGGCAGCCGAGCTGGAGTATGATATGAAGAAGTATGAAGAGCAGCTGGCCAGGGAGAAGGAGGCAGACCAAGAGCAAGTCTCCACAGCACAGGCAGAGGTTGGTGGTGCCATTAACTGTACATGTGCTGTCTCCTCTGCTAAAGTTGGTGTATGGCTCACCCCCAGGCTCTGTATGTGTGTGGACCTCGTTACAGCACTTGTAACAGCATGGCTGTGTAATGTTCTCATCCCTCTTCTCATCTGCTGGCAGAAGCTTTGGTTTCAGTCTCATTTAATGTGCTTAGAACCACTACAAGCAACACGTGTTAGCCAGAGGAGCAGCAAACAACTGATGTGAGGAGAATTCAATTTAAAGGGAAGGCTAAGTCTAACTTGCCACTGGCTGTGCTTACACGTGTTGCTCTCTGCTCTCAGCATGATAGAGATGATAAAAGGGTTCATTTTGTCTGACTTTAGGTGTATACAGAGTGCAAACTTAAAGTGTCCTCTTTTAAAGTCATTGTAAAATATGTGCTGGGGTCAGTTGTCCTGAACTATTTTACATAATGCTTGAAGTTGAGGTGACTTCTACCCTGGAAGCACCTTTCTCTGCTGATTTGGAAGAGCACCTCTATATACACCCCTAAACTAGGACATGTGTGCCCCATCTCGATTTCCTATTTGCTTCTTGTTAAAATTTTGGCCAATAAATTCTGTCTCCCTTTCACCCCTTGACATCCATCACCCAAAGGGTAGTTCTTAATCATGCAGCATGTAGGTCTAAGTGTCTTGTATCGGGTATCTACACCTCTATCCACTGTTAGACATGATCTTTCCTCCTGTTTTCTATAGCAACCTCCATCTTTGGAGAGAACTGGACCTTCTGGAGGCTGCAGCAGTAATGCTCAGTCTCCTACAAGTGGGAGACAGTCCTCCTCACCTCAGTCGAGTGCTTCCTCAGTGCCTGCTGTGTTTGCTACACCGAGGGCTGATGCTCTGAAACACAGTCACAGGTATGGGTCCTGGTTAGGATGACCAGTTTGATGATACACTGCAGGGCTACTGCTTTGCTTAGCCACTCCTTGCCTAGAGGTATGGAAGCCACCAGTGTTGAATTATGGTCTTCTCCAAAACATCTGGTATCTAAGATCAGAATGGATTGGAGGGCACAGATCTCCGTTCCTCCCAGGCCAGGTTGGACAGGGGCTTGGGCAACAAGGTCTGGTGTCTTAAGGTCCTTTCCAACCCAAACCATTCTGTGATTACATCATCTCCTTTGGGCTTGCAGAAGGCAATGACTGGTTCTGTCATGGCTTTTTCCCTATAGGCCAGCATCCTTGAGCACAGTTGCCATCCTGAACTCTGCCAGGAAAGCGATGGAAGCCAGGAGCAAGCAACGCAGCAAGAGTGTTGGAGGAAGGTTAGCAACTGCATCGCTTCCACCGAGCACAGCCGGCAGCAAGCAAGGTAGGAATCCTGCTGCAAACTGGCACTGGATCAGATCTAGTTGACACAGCCTGATTGTGAGACCCTGGAGGTCTCTGAGTGAGCACATTTCTAGTTGAATGATTTCCCTGTTGTTCCCAGCATCCTTCCAAAGCCTGAATGAACACTCTACGAGAGAGAATGCTTCTGTGGTGGGCCGTGCAATCAGCACACCAGAACGTAAGTACAACCCAAAGGAACCCTTTCCAATGGGGCTGAGCACTCATTCTCTGAAAGAAGTAGCAGTGCATGCTCTGTGTGCTCCCTAAAGAGCAAAGGAATCATTGCTAGCTGTAGGGTATTTATCTAAGTGCTTGTAGTAAATAAGAACTGTTCTGAAATGGAAGGCCTTGCATGAATGATGTAAGGGAAATACTCAGGGTCTGGTCCTCTTCTGCTCTAAGATAGGAAGCTCCTGTTGTCCAAACAAAAGCTCTTGGGTGAGCTACGACCTGCTTCTAGCGCAGGCAGTGAGCTGTGACAATTGCAAGAGAACAGGGAGATCTGCTCAAGTGGGATTAATAACCTGCAGGGTCATTTCTGAGTGTGTGTGTGTGTTCTTCCCTAAGGAAGAACTGAGCACTGGAGAAGGATTTAGGTTTTTTTCACCCTGCTGTGGAAACTAATGTACAAATACACAGGGAAGAACCTCGTACACAGCCTGGGAGTTTGCTGTGCTTGTGTCCATGGCAGCTTCAGCTCCTCCCTCAAAACCTGACCTTCAAAGTCAGTCTTGACTGGAATGCTTTCTGCCAGCCTACAGCATTCTGCAGTGTCACTTTCTGCAAGCTGAGAGGCAGTTACACAAATGGAGCTGATTCCAGCAGTGGATTCCTTCCTTTATGTCAATTCACTGCTGACCTCCTTGAGGGCATATCCGTTGTGGTGTGGACTGTGACGCTGGGGGTATGGGTGAGTATCTGACAAGTTGTCTCTCATTAGGCAGCTGTGGTGGTGTGGGCATGGGTTGATGTTCCAGAGGCACTGCTGTCTGCCTGCACTCTTTGCCTCTATCTGTGCAAGCACCTGACCTGCACTCACACAGGAGAGCAAACCTCATCTAGCCAACAAAGCAGGGAACGAATGGCAAATACCTGCCATGTGTGAGCAGGCAGCAGTGATGTGCATCCACTGGGAAATCTGACCCTTCTCTTCCCTGCATGCTCCACTCTGTGGCTGGATTTGTCTGCCTCGATGTTTCTCTTTGCTGCCTGAGCAGCAAGCAATGATCTTCGTGCAACAAAAATACCTGGGGGCATGTTTTTAGAGAGCAGAAATGGTGAGGAGCCAGCTCTCTGTCTGGAAGCTTGCACGGCTGTTTCTCTTGAGTGCCATATGGTGAAAAAGGAGGCAGAACATTAATCTGCAGTGGTACTAGGGCTGAATTCCTCCTTTGCTTCAAGGCAGCGCATGTCCTTCTCCTTCAGCAGGGAGACAAACTGTACAGAGCAGTGTCATCACTTGAGTTAGTGTGCTGAGCCATCTGCATGGTGGGCCTTGTAGGCTGATAGTCAAAATAAAGCATTCTTGTTTCTCTAGTATATCATTCTAGAACTGTTGGAGTTTTGTAAGCCAGTTTGTACTTGAAGTTCAGAACAACTGTCTAGTCTCTTTATTTGTCTGTTCTGGCTGTCTTTGGGTCTCCTTCTCAACTCCTGCCTGTTACTTTGAGGATGCCTACATGGCTTTGGGCAAGTGTGGATTGCTTCATGGTGGTACAGCAACACAGGTTGTGAAGACAGCACCTTTGATTACATGGGAAACCCTCCTTGATGGCAGTTCTTTACCGTTTCCTTCCCCTGACATAAACTTCTCATTAACCAAGGTAACTTAAGGCACACACTGCACAAAGGATACTTGCAGGTCAGTCTCCAGAGATGCAGTGGCCAGCTAAGGCAGACAGATCAAGCTGGATTCCCACTACAAGCTTCAGTGGCTCCCTTCCGGGACAGGGAAATAGTTAAAGGGCAAACCCAGTTAGTCTGGAGAGGCCTTACAGCAGAGCTTCCAGCTCCTGTCCTATAAAGCACTTTCTACCTTAATTCCTTGTGAAAGGTTCTGGGAAACATGAGCGTAAACCAGAGTGTTGAGTAAAGTAAAATCTGAATATTGTGACATCTCTCCCGAGATAAATGACAGCAAAGAGACAGCTGACAACTCTGGCCTATTCAGGCAAGCTAAATTCTACCTAGCTTCCCTGTCAAGTGATTCCTCTTGTCTGGCTGCAGGCAGCTCCTCAAGGAATGGCTGTTCAGGTCCTTTGTCAGTCTTTAGGGGCCCATATTGTGCCTCGACAAGACAAAGCAACCGCTCTGAATCTAACGTGTTGCTGAGACAGGTGGCAAAGCTTCAGTGGAAGGGGTGGCTCTCCCACTTAGGGAGGGCAGGGAGGTCTTGTGGTTGAATTAGCTTCCTCCCCATACAAAGCAGGCTCTGAGTTTGGAGTGTGAAGCTGATGCACACAGATAGCCCAACATTCAGCACACAGTTTTGAGGCACTGGGGTCTGCTGTGGATGTGCTTGCAGTTACCTGGATACACTCGCTCTGTGCCACATGCCTTGCCCCCAGGCTGTGTCTAAGCTCGCTCTAATCTGTGCTTCTCCTTTCAGAGACCATTAATGACTTGACTTTTGGTGCTGGGGTCAGTTACATCAGCTTGATGCACACACCCGCTTCAGGTCCAGGCAAGTTCTCTTTGGGATTCTAACCTGAAGGGGGGGAACACCCCGATGATCATATCTATGGCATTTCTTACCATATGAAAGTATGTGTGTTACTTGCAGAGAAGGAGAATGCTGAGGAGGAGCCAAAAGATATCATCTGTTTGAACTCACCAGATGAAGTGTAAGTTATTGCAGGGCTGAAGCAGCAATGGCAGTGAGGCCCACTAATGATGTGCTTTACAATCAGTGCTCCTTCTTCCTCCTTCCAGCCCCTCCCAGCCCCAGAAGTGGAAAATAGAATCCCCAGCAAGGAAAAAGAGCAGCCAATGTGTCCCCCTGAGACGTTCCCAGCGGAGAACCCCACTGAAACCAGACAACTGATCCCTTCACTGAGCTGTTGTACAGAATCCAGGTTGCCTGAAATTTGCCCCTCTCCTCTGTATTTATAAGTCCCCGTGGACACACGTCCATCCTCCTTTCCTTCCTTATCTATTCTGATGTGGGTTTTACATGAAACTGTCTAGAAAGTGGGCACACAAAGCTTGCATTGCCACATGTACATATTATAAAGTGCTGCTGTTGACAGAGCTCAGTGGAGTGCTGAAAGCTGCAGTATAAAGGGAGGCTTGCTCCTTACTCACAGGATGTATAATTTGTCCATTTGGAAAAGTAAGAGCATAATGTTGCCACCAGCTTAGCAATAAAGGCATTTATCACAGCTTGCAGGGAAGTGAGTGGCTCTGCTTAGTCCCTCATTGTCCCGCCTGGCTCTATGCTAGGCTTGCTTTAATTTGCACAAAGGTAAACCAGCTTGTCACTGCCATCCCCCTAAATCTGGTAATTGCAAGCTCCAGCACCTCTTATTTGTTGTGCTAACTCCTGTGTGTGTGAGCAGCCTTCGTGTTCTTTTCTATGGAATATTTCCAGTCTTGAACTATGTGATTTCCATTTTATGAAAATAAATGGTTACAGAATTAATTCCACCCACAGCTTCTGCTCTTGAGCTGACAGAGGAATTCTTTTTTCCTATGGATTTCCACAGCCTCTAACTCTCTTCCACTCCATTGCTGGTATCTTTAGACAGTCACTTCAATTAATGTTGGACCCAGCAGCTTTTAAATATAGACTCTCATTTGACTGCAAGCAGGATGTGAGTAACTCAAATCAAAGCTGGTAAGTCCTGGGCATGGCTTTGTGCTCTATAACCTGTTTATCATAAACACGCTGTGGGAATGCTGGGATCTGACCATTCCTGAGGCTCTCTGGTGCCATACGAACCTCACTGAAGCTATTACAGAGCTTTTGCCCTAGATTTCATTGCAACTTGAAAATGGAATCTCTTTTATTCATGCTGGGCTGTCTCAATCGGCCATGACCAGCAGCAAGGGAATGGGTTTTTCTGCATAAGAGGAAACAAAGAGATGCTCAGTGTGGTTTTGCCACAGCCCTTCCAGGGGCACTCACCTCCTGCATTGGAATTCCATCATTTGCCCTCAGTTTCCCTACTCTATTCTGAAGATCAGAGAAACCTTTAAGCAAGGTTCAACTTTACTCTCCAAATCAAAGGCAAAACCTGGGATCAGGGGATGTACAGACTGGCGTTGGCTTAATTATGGTCAATTATGGCCCCATCCGTTTATTTTGTACCTTCTCTCCTACCGTGAAGTGTGATTTAACCACTTCAATTGGAACAGGTTGTTTCCTAGCTTGTGCTTTTCTAGTTTTGTTCTGTTCTTGATCAGTGTTTGAGATGAGCCCCATGAGCCTAAAAAGAAACACGGATAGACAAATGCCCAAGTAACCTTCAGCCCAATACAAGTAAAGGAATGCTCAGCCAGAAGAGACTTTCACCGACCTTCACTGCATTGAAAACAGAAGCCTCCACTAACCTGTCTGTTTAAAAACCAAACCCACCCCAAACAACCCCACAAGACTGCTTTTATAGCTTGGTATTTATGGAAAACCTTGGCAAAGTTAAACAGAATACATTAGTACAAACCTGCATATTATTCACAAAGATACAATGAACTCCATCAGAGCTGGATGAGGGGGATCATCTCCCCTTCTCTCGTTAGAGATGCCACTGTCACATTTAAAACTGAAACAGAAGCTTGCTGGCTTTTCGCATGAAGGCTGCCTTTGGTTCATGGTGAGACTCTATGTAGATTGTGCTCCTACAGTGCCCAGAGCTCCCCTCATTCAACCCTTTCCTTCCTCTCCCTTATTACAGGTATCTTGTAATAAAGATACCTGTAAAAGCAGCACAGAAAAGGAGTAGTGGATGGACAGAAAGTGCAAAGGAATGTTATGCTCACTACTGGCATACAGGTTAGAGGCAGCCAGTGACCAGCATGTGGCTCGCTTGAAGAGCATGTCTTAAGAAGGTAATCATGATGTAGTTCAATACAGCAGTGGTAATGTCTGAATTACACAGAGAACACCAGGTTATTGCTGCCTCATTCTTATTTTCCCTTTCCTTAGCAAAAGGAGAAGTGATGCCACTTAGCTTAGGCAAAACAAATGCAGCAATGGCATATCCAGCGAGGCCCCAAGGAACCAAAGCAGGTTAATGCAGAACACTAGAAAATAACACTGACAGTCCAAATCGTCAAGTATCCAAAATACTGTATCCAGGAAAAGTTAAGACAACTCAATTCATATTGGAAATACAAGAACACTACATTATGCTACATTAAAAAAAACTCCTAAACCACAGCATAGTTCTAGTGTTGCATCCGCATCTTGCAGCCTTATATTACCCAATGCTGTTCAATACTATCAGCATGTTTCCAATGAGTCTCTCTAAGCCAAGAGAATCACATGTGTCTTCTTTCTCTTACCACCTACAGAGAAGTTGCAACTGCCACTACAAAAGTGCTTTTGTATTGAGCTTTTGCTTTCCCAGCTCCAGGAACAGTCGCCCTGGCTCTGCAGCTTGAACCTGGAAAGCTGCTGTAGCTGTCACACCGGGTTAGTGCTTTAGGGAGCTTGCAGAGGGGTAGCAAACGTTGAAGTCACTCTTGTCACCTTGGTGGGACTGAATCCAAAAGCCATCCCTGGCTGTTTCTTGCAACACCAAACGCAAAGTGTTGGTCACTGGCAAGAAAACTATGGTTTATGTATAAAAAAGTTGACAGCTCCTGCCATAAATGTACAAAAACTATCCCTGAGTGACTCTGTTCTGTGCCTGTAAGACCTCTTGTGACAAGGAAATTGCTGAAGCTAGCTGAAGAGGAAGGAGATGCTGTTCCACCTGCAGCTCTTTAGCACACTCTGCAGTAATACTGACATGCTCTGACAGTACCAGACTGGAGCAAGGTTTGAGCTCCTCTCTGTAGCTTGAACAGTAAAAAAATAGTCCCATTCCTGACCCACTGCTGGCATCACCTATTTACACTGGCAATAGAAACATTACCTTTTCTGAAGTAACCAAAATAGATCTTTCTTTGCCCAAAATTGAGGCTGTGGGATTTTTACAAAAGGAAGGGAGAAGGTAAAAAAAGCTTGAAAATATCTCAGTGCCTTTCCTGGCCTCCTTCCCCCATGGAAGTATTTGGCTTTAATTTTCCTGAAAGGGATGTCTCAGCACACTCTGCCTCCACTCTTAAGCCTCTTTCCAGCACCAGGAGACGCAAGAGGCAAGCCTGCTTTGTGCAGATTAGACTGAGGGGTTACCTGCGTCCAGTGAGCTCTCTATAAAGCAGCGAACAGAAGCAATCCTCCTGGCCTGATGCTGCCTGCTCTCTCCTGTTAGACAGAGGAACAAGAAGGTAAGTTTACAAGAGGGCTGAGAGCGTTAGTTGTGTATCGGTACCTGTTGCTGCAGGCTGGTCACATCCCCTGTTCTGCACCAAAGTCGGAGCCAAAAGCACAAGACAATCACACACGTGTAAAAGTCACCAGGCAGGCCTGGGCAACCAGCTGCTGAGAGGAAGATTCCCCCCTGAAGTCCATCTATTGCTGTATCAGCACCTTTTTTTGTCTACTAGTAACGCCTACTAGTAACGTCTACTACACGTTTACCTAACGCTGTTCCTCTGGTGGGTTTGCACATTGTGGCTGTGTCCCTGCAGCACAAAGAGAAGGCAATTCCACAAACTTCCACAGCCCGCAGTCTCTTGGGAAGCATTAGAAGGCTTCCTTAGTCCAAGGACAGGTATAGGTGATCCTGCTGGTATCTCCGGAGGCAGGGGAGACGCAAGTTGGGCAGTGAGGAGTTACTTTAAACTTTGGCAAAGAAAAAACAAGATACAGATAGGTAGCTATTGAGTTCTGGTGTGTTCCAAACTCTTCCAAGCGCACTTAATTCATCCTTTGCTCTTGCTTCGGGTTCCTGGAGGAGGTATTTGCACGCTTGCTTTTGCTGGTTTGTGAGACTCTTGTGGCATCTTAGATGACGAATGAAGACTTGTGCCTGAAGTCACCCTGCAACAAAACAGTGCTGGATGGAGGGAGGATCTAGCACCTGCAATGTGCCCATGAAAGGTAGCTCCAATCTGTGTCACTACCAGGATCCTGTCCCCCTTCAGGCAGGTAAGAAGGAGACACCAGTCACTGGCCAAGGGCTCCTTTTCCTGCTGTCCAACTCACAAGGGACTTTCTCATTCCCTCCTCAGCATCTCTGCTACGAGGGAGAGGCTTTTTCTGCTCTTAATCTTAGTGATCTATCCAAATCCCAGAATGGAAATTCTCTTGTAACAGCATCGTGGCCTGCCCACTTAATCCAATGAAACTCATCCTAAGGGGGTCAAGCCATGAGATAACGGAGGGAGAGCAGAGCTGCATTTGATAGCTGTTGGCATCAAGCCACTCAAGGCAACTTAAACTGTTCATCAGTTCTAAGGAAATGACTCAGCCTTCACCCTTCTGTCTCCTCTCTGTTCTGCATCCTTGGTTCTGAGTGGTGCTCATGTCTAAGAAAGCCTCTAGGTCCTAAAAAAGCCAGTAGTTCTCTGCCCACCCCCTTCCTCTCCTAAACAGAGAGATGTTAAATGCAAATCATTTGTTACCTCATCATCTGTCCGGATATAGTTAACGCCATCAGGCTTTGCTGGAGTCTTGTAGCTGAAATAAAGGGAAAGATCTCATTTCTGGGACAAGAACACTGCAGGATTTTGGAGGGGAGGACAAAAATCAGGACAGGACTCGTGCTGCAAAGCAGCATTTAACATGAAATGGTGAGAAGCTTGGGTTTCCATATATTATCTCTTCTACGGGTTCAGTAAGGACATCAAGGCTTGTTTCTGATGCTAATGCTGTTGGTTTTAACATTTTAATGTGCATTCTAAGAGTTAGTTTTAATCCCAAATTGAGCTTCTCACCATGAGTGAGATTTCCTGTTGAGAGCCTACTCTTCTGCATACATTTCCTATGCATGTCTTGATGCTTTTAACTAATGGTGCAGTGAGCTCTGTTCATACCATTGTAGCCCTCATTATGCCAACAGCACGTAACCCCTTGGCCAAACCCCTGCAGGCTTTTAATTGTGCTGGTCCCCCCTTCCTGAGCAAAGGCTGAGGATCTCAGAGCACAACATCCACTCCTCTGCCTGCTCTTAGCAGCAAGCCCAGGAGGAGCCAAACCAAATGCTCCCTTAGGCAAATAAACCTTCAGCATGGTGCAGGGCTGACAGTGGGGGATTGGATGCTTTAAGAACTGCTTGGCCTCTACTCTTTGGGAGGAAGCGAGGAAGAAATATGTCTGAGTCAGGCATCAAAACACCCTTTAACCACCACTTTCTGGCACCTTCAGACTCCTTCATGCAGGCTGTGAGACAGGGACTTGTCTAAGGACACTCTTACCTTTCCCCGCTCTCTTTGCTGTTTGCAAAGTAACCCCTTCTGTAGGCACAGCAGATACCAAGGGTGATGAGCACCAGAACCGCGAGGACCACCAGGACCCCACCGATGATCCCTCCAATGTTGAGGTCATCTGGCAAAGAGAAGCCATCGATTCACATTTAGATTTACATACACTAAAATGACATCTC